CAATTAGATGAGCACTCGTTCTTATGAATCCGACAGCTATTTATAAACAAATTATTAGCATTCAATCCATTGTTTTGTTGACATATTTCTGGAAGTGCCTTGCAGGCTCGTTGTAGCGCATTCCCAAACAACTTTTCCAGCTATTTCTTGTTGCGTGTTCCAAATCAGAATGCTAATTTATAGCTCACCAGAGAATCAGGCAAACAGACGATTCCATGTGACGTGTGTATGTGTGTGTGTGTGTGTGTGTGTGTAAATTATATGTGAACCGGTTCCAGCGCTAACTTTTGGAAGCACAAGCATTTTTTTTTTATTTTTTTTTTTATTGCTTGCTCTTTTTGTTTATACATGCATATGTATGTACATATGTGGCGCTGTGCAGAGGCGTTGCTTTCGTGGTTTGGAACGGTGCCACGTCATTTTTTGTTGTTATTTGTTAGTTTCCAGTTTATTTTTTTATTGACTTTCTAGGCCTGGTGCTGTATGTACATTTTTTTTTTTAGCTGTAGGGTTTTGTGTTTGTGCAATTTATCATAGCAAAATTTGGACATATTGATTTTTGTTATTTCCTAGACTTAAAGCAAATTGAACATAAGTAATACTTGTTGAAAACTGACAAAAGAAAGAAAAAACGCGAGCTATAAAACAAATTTCTATATACTCTAACACAAATGAGCTCATCCGAAGTCCCAGTTGATTTTATTCCAGAAAAAAACAACTTTATTACACATACGCACCGCTGACTGCACCCACAAGTTTTCAGTTTATCAACTGACCCAAGCCCAAGCCTATTTTTGTTTTGAAACTTTCACTCGAACACTTTGCGGTGAACTCTATGAAAAAAACCCAGCTGCAGGGCAAAAGAAAGAGTTTGGTTGTAGTTGTGTTGAGGCGCCACAAATACTACGCGGCGTATGCGTAATGGCCCAGACACGAAGCATGGCATGTTTACTTCCCATAGTTGATGATGTCATGCGGTCGGCAGGTTTCTGCATTCCCATAGCTATTTTATACGCCAACTATGTATAGCCTGACCTTGTCGTAGACCAATTTACAAGCATTCTTTTTGTAATCAACAGGCCTCTAATTTAATCATTCGATCATTATGAATTATGTTTTTTCTTGTCTGCTTTGCATTTACAGATTTTAAACAACCAGCAAACAAGCTAAACAAGAAGCAATCATGAGCTCCGCTGAGTACTATCCATTCAAGGTAAATAACATATCTATACATTTCAAAGGTTATCATTCATTACCAAGTGGCCAATAATTGTTAATTAAACCATTAAGTCTTTATCGATTTTCTTTTGAGTACTCAACTCGCTTTGCAGTCTTATCTATTTTAAGCGTGCAGATAAGAAATGCTCAGGCAGACATTAGTAATACGAGCATTTCCATAAGGAAAATCTATACCGAGAAAGAAGGGCTATCTTCAGCATGCCGAAGTTTTCCATACAATTTTATTTTCGAACCATCGTTCCTACGGCAGCTAAATGATAAAGTATAGGTTGATAGGAATTTTGTATATACGAAGAGCATAGTTAAACCAATAAATGCCAAGTTTGGTCAAGATATCTTGATAAACAAAAAAGTTTTTCATACAAGAACCTACTTTTTGACCGATCGTTCCTACGGCAGCTATATGATATAGTGGTATAGACTTCTGTAAAGTTTCAGATAGACTTCTGTAAAGTTTCCTCTGCAAGGGTATAAAAAAGGTGTTGTTTTATACTTTAAATAGTACGAAACAAGAATCGAACTTAGGTTGAAAAAATATAATTTTTATTACAACATTCATCATGTAAGCGGGACCCTGGAATTGCTCATATGTATATATAATAGGAATAAAAACTTTGCATGACGAATTTGGGAAGTTTACGTGTCGTACGTGAATATAAAACAATTCAGTGGCATTATTCACGATTATTCATGCATTCATTACGTATTCATTGCACTTGTCAGCAAATATTTATGTTCACGTTTACTCATTCGCATTTGCAGTGCACACCCACCGTTTACCCCGCGGATCCCTTTGATCCCGTCGAGGATGCGGCTATTCTGCGCAAGGCCATGAAGGGCTTTGGCACCGATGAGAAGGCCATCATTGAGATCCTAGCCCGTCGTGGCATTGTCCAGCGTCTGGAGATCGCCGAGGCATTCAAGACCGCCTACGGCAAGGATCTGATTTCGGAGCTGAAGTCCGAACTGGGCGGCAAATTCGAGGATGTGATTGTGGCGCTGATGACGCCGCTGCCGCAGTTCTATGCACAGGAGCTGCACGATGCCATCTCCGGTCTGGGCACCGATGAGGAGGCCATCATTGAGATACTGTGCACCTTGTCGAACTATGGCATCAAGACCATCGCCCAGTTCTACGAGCAGGGCTTCGGCAGGTCCCTGGAGTCGGACCTTAAAGGCGATACCAGTGGACACTTTAAGCGCCTGTGCGTCTCGCTGGTGCAGGGCAACCGAGATGAGAACCAGGGCGTCGATCAGGCGGCTGCCATTGCCGATGCCCAGGCGCTGCACGATGCCGGCGAGGGCCAATGGGGCACGGATGAGTCCACCTTCAACTCGATTCTGATCACGCGCTCGTATCAGCAGCTGCGTCAGATTTTCCTCGAATACGAGAATCTCTCCGGCAATGACATTGAGAAGGCCATTAAGCGTGAGTTCAGCGGCTCTGTGGAGAAGGGCTTCCTGGCCATCGGTGAGTCATGCTTAACGCCAATATATGATTCATTCTGTGATTCAAATTGATTTTTTATTCGACAGTTAAGTGCTGCAAGTCCAAGATTGACTATTTCTCTGAGCGTCTGCACGATTCCATGGCCGGTCTGGGCACCAAGGATAAGACGCTGATACGCATTATTGTCAGCCGCTCCGAGATCGATCTGGGCGATATCAAGGAAGCATTCCAGAACAAGTACAACAAGAGCCTGGAATCGTGGATCAAGGTAAATATTCGTTTCATATATTCTATTTGTGCGTTAACATGCTTAATACATTTGTGGTGTTGGGCACTGAGTATGCACTTAGAAATCTATATCGTATAACTATATAGTATAACTGTACTAAATCTAATTGAAATTAGGCACACATAGTTAATATATTCCTTAACAACCAGTTCGAGTTCCATATAATATTACATTTCATGACATACCCGCAAGCTGTTAACAGCTGTTAAAAAAAAAACTTCTATCATTCAAAAGCACTCTGTTAATTGCATAGCCATAAATTAACAGAGAATGTACAGTTGCCGCAATTCATGTACAGTTAGACCTTGTTCTTTATATGAAAACATTCTCCATCATTAGTTTTTATCGGTTGTACACTCATGTTTGCTTATATACTTACTTCATTTGTGTGCTGCATAAAACATTAAAACTTGCCATATTCTATATTTTTAGGGCGATACATCTGGCGATTATAAGCGTGCCCTATTGGCTATTGTTGGATTCTAAAAAAGAAATCACATGCCCCAAACCAACAATACAAAAATTGTCACTGTCGTGTCTGTTCCAAGCCTTAAGCACACACATATTGTACAAAATTTGACTATCGAATAGTTAGACCACATATACATATATAAATCTTATATGTACCTATATATACACACACACACATATATATATATATATATATATATATATATATATATATATATATACTATAGGATCTACGATTGCAAATGTGGAACACAGACTTTTAAGAGCAACGCAGTGCATTTAATAAGGCCTACAGTCGCATCACATGTTAATTATTATACATAATTTTATGCACACTCATTGCACATAGTTTTATCTCAATTTTAACTATACCTTTATATATATATATACATACATATGCCTTGCTATATCTGCAGCTTATGTTTTTTGTTTTTTATTATTTGTCTCGAGTCTCATTTGCAAAAAGTTCTAAGTTACAATATTGTTAAAAACAAACAAAACGCAACAATAAAAGCAAATAAAATCTAATTAGGCGTCATTTAGTACTGTAAACCTTTGAATTGTATTTGCTGTTGCTTCTTCTTCTTGTGTTTAACAGAAGCGGCGTTTTGCAATACTTTGTTGCTTGCCATATTACTAACAGCGCGCTTTTAGCGCTTAACATAACACCTAACACTGGGTCAGAAGTTACTTTTCTTTAGCACCAAGCAACTAAAAACAACAACAAAAATGTATACAAAATAACGCGTTTAATGCTCTGCTCTTTTTACGCTTCTCTCTTCAACGTGTTTACGCAATTTACAACACACACAAACACACAGGAGGATGCGAACACTGAAATTGGATATTTGCTTGTGACGGTCGTCGCTTACTAGAAGAGCTGCCGTGCGCCCAAGTATAAGAGTTGTAGGGTCTTATACAGCTGTGCAATAGAAATGCCAAAAATATGCATTTTCGAAGACAAGAGAAAGAACCTGAAATTATTAGTGTTGTGAAGTGCTTCAATTCCAATTGTAATTCTCATTAAAATGTTTTTTCTTAAAATTATTTATGAAAGGCAGCCTGTCTGTAATAGCGTCTAACGTTTGTATTTCTCTGCAATGTGCAAAATTAATTTTATTTTAACGTTTCTTTATATTTTGTATACATTTTATTTGTATATTATACAACTCTTTTAGTATTTTGTGCTTGTGCTATTAACAAATAAAAAGTAAAAGCCAAAGGAACAAATTGCAAATTTCTGAGTTTTTAAACCAAACCCATATTTTTTTTGTTTCATTTACAGGATGATATTTCCGGCGATTACAGCTACGTGCTGCAATGTTTGGCTTCATACTAAATTTAGTACATGATTTATCAAAATACATTTCACTCTTTGTTGTATTTCTTTCTTTTAGCCAACTTTTAACTTAATATTAAAAATTTTGTTGTGAAAATTCCTAACTACTTGTCTTTTAAATGCTTTTGATTCGTTTGTCTTTTGCTGCGCTTAATTTTAAGTAAGAAAAAACCGTTGACCATTTGAAAATGTGCGGGGAAATATGTCCAGTTGGGGCAACTTTGAAACTGTGGGCGTAGCAGGCACGCCTACTTGGCAACACGCTCCTGGTAGGCGGCCCAAAGACGATCGCGATAGCTGGCCGCCGTCTTCTCCACATTTGAGGCCTGGAGAATGCCGCGTCCTACAACGCCAATATCGGCGCCACACTCCCTGACCACATGCTCCGGCGTTTGATATTGTTGTCCCAGCTTATCGACGCCCTCATCGATCTTCACGCCCGGCGTTAGCTGTATCAGACCGGGAAAAGCAAAGCAATTGGTAGACTGACAGACGACACCAGCCACAAAGTCGACATCGCCGCCCTCGGTGGCAATCTTGTTGCTGTTCTCCTTGTACTTTTCATCGATCAGATTTCCGCTGACGGACATTTCGGCCAGCAGGAAGACGCCACGCTCGTTGGAGGGATTAGCACCGCCGAGTGCCGCCTTCAGGCCCTGGACAATGCTGCGGCCGGGCAGCGTGTGCGCTGTCACCAAATCCGCCCAGTTGGCTATCTTATAGAAGCCCTGGCCATACTGCAGCGATACCGTGTTCCCAATGTCCGCAAATTTGCGGTCCTCCATTAGCAGGAAATTGTGTCGCGTGGCTAGCGCCTGAAGATTGACAATGAAACTCTCGCTGAAGTCCGACACAATGTCTACATGGGTTTTGAGCAGGCAAATGTAGGGACCGCACTTGTCGGCCATGTCCAGAATGGCATCCGCCTCGGTCAGATCGGCGGCCAGACAGAGATTCGTTTGCTTCGCGGCCATTAGATTGAACAGGCGCTTGGCCATCGGACTCTTGGCCAAGTTGGCGCGACTCTCGTAGGTCAGTTTGGTGCGCGTAAAGTCGTTGGCTTCTGTCAAAAGTAAAGAATTTCCAGATATGAATAGATAAGTTATCAGCAAATATACTTTAAGTAATATACTTTTGTACACTATGTGACAAAGATAAATATAAGAGACAGCGTGATAAGGGCCATTAGCTAGAAGCGGGCCGTAATTTATGCTTCTTCTGCCCTGTCTCAGTTCTCAAAATATGTATTCTTTAATAACCATGATATTTTTTTGGCGTTTTCTATGAAACTTTTAAGCCATAAAGTTGTCATTCATATGTTTGCATATACCAGAAATCGGAAAAGTTTACCTAAAAGAATTGTAAATATTTTGAAGAGTGGAGAAGGTCCATCGACAGGGATTTTTTATTGCAGATCTTTTTATAATATGTGAGATATATGCTGATTTCGGATAAAGGGATTGGATTATCGCTGCTTATTGAATTTTAGATAAATTGGGAAGATTGTTGCTGGGATTTTGTGAGTCTTTTCTTATTTTTAAAATGAAACTTTTTGGGTGTTGGTTCTTGATTTGATGATCTTCCAATTAAACCTCTTTACTACATGTATATCGATTCTTTTAAGAATCGTCACCAGGGAGAAATACAACGTCCGTTATGGAAAAGAAGATCGAAAAGGGGAACTTTGCAAGCCGAAAAGCTATATCAAGAATATATATATGCAGAATGTTCCACATTTCGTGACAATATTAAACAATGGATTTATGCAATATATAAATCCATTTGAATTCAATCATCTGCTATTTGGAGTGCTAATAAAATTGGGTGCTTTACTGTATCATATCTATGATAGAGTCGAGTGCAGGTCATATAACTTATATCTGATATGATTAACCATGTTGGTCGCGGCCAAATTAAAGCAAATTAGACAATTTACGAGCTGGGACTAACAGCTGCATGGATAGATATACATATTATATAATTTTTATTGGAGCAGCTGGCACTGGGCTGGGGTCGAAAATGGTTCTGGTTGTGGCCCGGATTTCAGCTAAATTAGCACGCGCATATGTCAAGTTTATGTGATTGTCTGCCATATCTGGGATCTCGATTCCACTTACCGGTCACGCTCTTATCGCCGCCAATAAACGAGCCATCGCTGTTTATCTGGACTGCTGCAATATATTTGGCTACCGCATCCACCGTGGCCTTCTCGATGTGCCCCGCCTCGTGCAGCGTGTTGAGCAGAAAGGAGAGCGTGAACAGGGAATGCATGCGCACGCCGTGCTTGGCTATGTTGGCGGCGCCGCCCTGTTCCCGATCGACGACGACAACGGCATCGGTGACCACAATGCCCTCGCTCTGCAGATCACGGACAGTGTCCAGTATGCTCGAACCGGAGGTGACCACATCCTCGACAATCAGACAGGTGTCGCCGGCCTGATAAATGCCCTCAATCAGCTTCTTGGTGCCATACGCCTTCGCCTCCTTGCGGCGCACCAGCATGGGCGTGTTCTGCTGCACCGAGACGATGGTCGCCAGCGGCAGCGCGGTGTACGGCACGCCGCAGACGTGCTTGGAGCTCAGCTGCAGATCTTTAATGTGCGCCACTAGTAGATCGGAAACGGTTTGCTGTAATAACCATAAGAAAAACAGTTGTCAAATGGTGAATTTTATATATTATGCCACCTACCATCACATCTGGATAGCTAACAATAACGCGCAGATCGAAGTAAACCGGAGAATTAATGCCGACCTTCATTTTGTAATCGCCAAATTTGAATGCATTGATTTGAAACAATTTGACCGCTAACGCTTTCATCTCATCCGTGCTCTTGGCCATCATTTTGCTGCGTTTCTTTTAAATAATTTAACCTCGACTTAAATCAACACGACCACGTTTATTCCACACGTGCGAGGTTGGCCCGATTTAAAGCAAACACGTCCGACTGCCGCTAAGTATCAATAAACACAAGTGTTGCAGGGCGTCAAGCATATGAGCGCCCCGCTCAAATGGGACTGTTAAATTTACTATACTGTTAACTTAACATTGTTGAATTGTGATACTGGCTTTGATGTAAATTTTCAGTCATCAAATACAAGTTTTGGCGTGCAATTAGAAAACTATTAGCACCTATTCCAGTGCAATGGCAATGCATACACAACATTTTCGCTGACCTTATAATAGAAAGGTTGGTCAAATATATCATTCATTTCATTTCATTTCAGTGCAGGTTTATATAAAAAACATTATTTAAACGGTCTAGTCACATATATTGACTGGTTGCCGAATATTTTTGTCCAACCCGGCTGCACAATAAAAACAAGATTCAATAAAGCTGAGATTAATTTAAAACGTGATAAATTAGCCGCAAACCGTTATCTTATGCCGTTTTTGTGGTAACGTGCTTTACAGCGCTTATCGATATTAAGCTTACATAAATCGATTCATATTTTGAATGAATATGGCGGCAGCAGAAGTTAAAGTACTTGTTGCGTGCAAAGGTATCGAAGGGAAATGGACCGTGCTATAGAATAAGTGGGAATTTTCAAAGAGCTCATGGCTAAAAAAAAGCGATCGCACCCAGCGGGAAATTTTAACAGTATCGAATCAAGTTTCATAATATAAAATATATATGTGCAAAATATATACCCTTACAAATTTGAAGCACAGTAACAATAATACGAAGCTTGTTTTAGGTGATTATAATTTATTAGAATTTTTATTGACTTAAATTATACATACACATATATATATATATATATATATATATATATATATATGTATATATATATATATAAATAAAATATTATTCAAGTACAAAGTTATATATACTCATTATTATTATTTAATTCAAGTAAATATAATTCAAAGTGTGTGTTTTGTGTGTCTGTGTGTATTTTCTCTTGCTATATATTAGGTAAGTACAATTTACTGTATCCTTGCTCTTCCATTGCCGTACAACAGCATATTTTCCAACTTAGTTTTCTTTTAAAGTCAAGTATATCGGATGCTTTAAATAATTTCTTCTTTTGGATCACAAAACAGTAAATGTCTTAAACGAGTCGAAAATTGTTATTGAATTAAACATAGTTAAAACAAAGTTTAAGTTGTGTAATTATAAAAATATTGTAGCTGCTGCTGGTAACTTGTTATTCTCTCTAATTTTTTTTTTTGTTTTTAATTTATTTTTAGCTCGAAAGTATGCCTAACTTAAACCAATTTCGTCACCAAGCCGCGCGCGCACATTTTTTCTTTGTTTTTATTTATTTTCTTTTTTTTTTCGTCGTCCACATCCTTGTCCATAACACTCGCCATTTTGTTTTTAACGCTACGTTGCCTTAACTTCAGTCCTTTCGCAGAAAACCTAACCTTAAAATGTATTAAGCTTTTTCAATATACTTTTTCATTTCATTTCCTCTCTTCTCATCATTCGTTTTCGTTTTTGTTTTGCTTTTTGTTTTCATTTTCAATACAGTTGCTGCCGACACTAAACATAAATACAGTACAATACAGATACTTTTATTTTCTGTTTTTGTTAGGGTATATATAAAAAGGTTTACATAATATAATTTGCCAGCCTGCCTGCCGCCTGCTTTACTGTACTTCTAACTACAATTCTAACCTCGTCTTTGGCCGCACACTTCCGCTCATATTTCACATTCTCCACATTCTCGTTCCGTTAGTTTGTAAATATGTAAATTGTAATACATTTCATTTAAATTCACTAAGAGTTGCACGGACTGTGTGTAATTGTGTATCTGTGTGTGTGAGTGTTTTTAAATAATTTAAATCATTTTTGTTTTTTCCTGCTTTTTTATACCTTCGCTAAACCAATTTAGTTTTCGTTTTCTTTTAATATTTTGAAAAATATGTTTTGTTTATAAGTTCGTTTTGTTTATGTTTTCTTTGCTGTTTTATGCTTTTTGTTTTCTTTATGAAATGCCAAAAATTTGTGCAAATTTCTAATGAATTTTCGAATTTTTTTCTCTTTTGTTTTTGCTTTACACTAAAATATTTAACTTTAAAATGTTTCATTTTAGCTTTAGTTTTTTTTTTTTTTTGTATTTAGTTTCATTTAAAATATTGCATTTTTGCTTTATATTTTTTTTTTTTAGTTTACGTTTTTTTTTTGTTTGTTTGGAGGCTTCATCCCTGAGTGATTTAATTTCCTTTGTTTGTCATTTATTGCAATTTTTTTTTTGTTGGTTTATAAACTTATTGTTTTATAATGTCTTATGTGTGATTTATAAGAGTATGCAAAAACGGAACCAAAACAATTGCGAATTAGATAAGTTTGCGTGGGCTTTGAAGGTTGCTTATTTGTTTATGGGCTCTGCGACTCGACGTTTAGTTCTTGTCTATATGAGATTGACACATTTTTCTTTTGAATGAGGGGCAAACTACGTAAATCTTAGCCAAAAATGTGCTATATACTATTAATTAGTAACTGTACTTAAGCTTGTTTTCTTTTCGATTTTTTCTGGCTATTTGTTATATGTAACTTTTGGCTAATACTTTTGGTTGGCTTATTTGCCTTTTGTATGGTTTGTTGTGGTTGCTTCTGCTTGTTTTGTGTTTCTGTTTGTATTTGTAATTAGTATTTGTACTTTACTGCAAGAATTTGAATTTATTTTCTGTACTCAAAGCAACGCACAAAGCCACAAAACAGAAAATTCCCAACGAGAATTTCCCATTTCCCCTTAAGCTGCTGCACAATCTTCAATCACGTACACGTTATTATATAATATATATATATATGAATATGCCTGGAACATAATTAGCATATACATATATGTAAAATAGTTAGTACATTGATCACTACACAAAATATGAAACTACATCAATGGGGTAAGCAAAAAAAAAAATAACCAAAATACGTATGCTTAACAAAATACTGGGAATTATATTCAAATGCTGCGATGAGCAACAAGTTTCATGTGTGTAATTGGGTCTTCGAAAAAACTCTTTGAAATGCGTATAAGAGCGCATTAATGACAATTTAGCTATTTTGTAGCCATATCAGTAAGCAAATTCAGTTAGACTTTTATGTAGCCATTTTTACATGGGCTTCAGCTTTTTGTTGCGGCAGTTGGCAACACTGGTTGAGAGCAGTGCATCAGATTCCAATTGCATTTAAAATATAAGAGAACTGTCTTATACGAAAAACTTGTTGCCCAAGGTGCATTTTTGTGCCTCAGTTCAGAAAAATAATTAGAATTGGAAATGAAAAGAAAGAAAAACCGAAATACCGCAATACAACTATTTGGTTTTAGATTCTTTTTTTTTGTTTTTGTTTTTAATGTATATTAGTTTGAAGCATTCCGTATAACTATATGTAAATATGCTGGTACCACATATGATAAAATGTATATTGGTATTGTTTAGATCTTTACATTAATCTCGTTAATCTCAAAAAATGCTATGTATTTGAACAGTTAATTACGTTTTCACTTGCACGAAGTGTTTGCACTTTATTTCGGTTATTGTTTTATGCCTTTCATTCATATACTTTATCCACTATGTTTTTCATTTTCTTCAACTTTTTTTTCTTCATTTTTTGTTTTTTTTTTTGGTATAAGTTGATTTTCTCTTCTTTATTTATATAAAAAATATTCATTTATTGAGTTTTTTTTGCAGTTATTGTTTTTGGTTAGCTGTTTTCTATTTTGTATATTGTTTTAGAGCGGTATTTTTGCTATCTTTTTTTCTTTCTTTCTTTTTTTGGATCGATTATATTATATTGGGTGTATATATATTTGTGGTTATGTTTTTGTTTTTATTCTTTTGGTAAGCATGGTAGGTTGGCTATAGCTATAGAGTATACTTGTATGTTAATATGGTGTATTGTAATCGGTCTGATTTTCTTAAATGGATAGTTAGTTTGATTTAAACGACGACTGGAAGTTGGGCCTGCAAAGATGCGAGCATGTATTGCATTCGACTGTTTAGTGTTTGCTTCACTTTGAACATTAAGTTTAAAAATTCTTAAAAATACATGACATTCGCGTTTCGTAATTGTTGAAATAAAGTATAAGACTAGAAATATATATTTATGTATATATATATATATACCGTTACAATTCGACTTAATTAATATGCGCATCAAATGAATTCTTTTTTGTAATTTTTCAAAACTTATTCTAAGTACATTTATTTAAGTTGTTGCGAAAAAAACCAAAAACAAAAACAAAAAGGAAATTCAATTAAAAATGGTGTTCAAAGAAAATTGCACATAAATTTGTATTCCATTAAAAATTATTCGCTTACAATTAAAAGCTTTGTTGTTGTTTTTTTTTTTTTAAGTTTATGCGGCAAAGATCACAGATCCTCATAAAGAAATGAAAGCCAACTATGCGCATATTTTAATTTTAAAAATCCAACTCGAAATTCTTTTCGCTTCCTTTTTCCACCATTTTTTTGTTGTTTTTTTTTTTTTGTACATTAAATTGCTAAACTTTGCTTTTTGTGCGAAAACTTGAACTGAAAGAACCAAAGCTAAAGAACTGAAAGTGTCTTAAACAAAATTCAACTAATACTTGCATTCTGTAGTATAACTTCTTGTTTGTTTTTTGAGAGGGTTATTGGATTTGGGTGACGCTCAGCAGGACCTTCGGTAAACTCCAAACACATTTCAAAAGCAGCTCAGCTTTTGCCAAAGTAAAATGCACAATTTGCGGCTGCAATTTGTGTGGCAACAACTTAGCCGCCTTTTGGGGCATGAAATGTATTTGTGAATTTACCAAAAGTCCTTGTACGAACCTCAGGAACCGTGTAGCGCATTATTCTGCGCATTGTTCCCGGCGCTGCCATTCACATTCTGGGCTGAGACCTCCGACTTGACGCGACGCGCAATATGCGAACGCGTGTGTTTACGCAAGTGATCCTTGCGATAGAAACCTGAATGAAAAGAAAGCATACAATTAGTATTAGAAAGTAATTCAGAATGGTAGGGACCATCAAGAGTTATTCCATATTCTATTTGCAAATGTTTAAGGATGAAGCACAAAGCAGAAATACGCAAATCAAACGGTTGTGGGAAAGAAGAGAGGGAAAGGATAGGTAAATGTGTGCGATAAAGAACGGAAAACAAAGCAAGAAGAAATTAAAACCATTTTTCAGAATTGAAAGAAGAAACTTGCGAAATAAGAAGAGAAAGAGAGGAGAGAGAGAGAGAGCGACTGAGAGATAGAAACAGAGAGATTGCTCTAGCGAGTCAGAGAGCGAGAGAGGGAGAAAGAGAGGGAGATGGAAGGGAGAGGGAGGGAGAGGAAGAAAGAGATAAAGAGAGCGAAATAACTTGCTTTAAAGAAAGCAAAAAAGTACAAGACCACAAAACGTTTAAGAATGGCGCACAAAGAGGAATATAGCTTAGCTAATGTTCGCGAGAGAGAACTGCGCATGCGAGTGCATGTTATAATTATTCTTTTGGACTCTTCGATTTATATGCTCACCTTTGCCGCACTCAATGCAGACGTGCTTCTTCTCGCCCGAATGTATGACAATGTGCAAGGTGAGCTGCTCCTTGCGCTTAAAGGACTTCATGCAGATCTGTTGAGAGATAAAGAATTGATTAAATTTCTGGCATTAGTGGGACAAATCAGGCCCAGACTCACATTGCACACATGCGGCCTGTCCGGTATGTGGGATAGCTTGTGCCTGGTCAAGTGATCCTTGCGCTTGAGCGCTGCATTGCAGATATCGCAGACGAAGCGCCGCTCGACGGCATGCGAGATGACATGCTGCTCGATCAGACTGCGGTCCGGATAGGCCATCTGGCATTCGGGGCAACAGTAGAGCGTGGAGCCGTCCAACGCTTTCGTTTCACGTATTTCGCCGGGCTTGGGACGCGGCTTCTTCTCCTTTGGCGGTTTCTTCTTTTTGGTCTTCTTACCGGTGGTGGTGGTGCCACCTGTGGCATTTGTGGTGCCCACCGCCGCGGTGCTCGACACGGCGGCCCCGTTACTAACCGCACCATTCGCATTGCCATTGACCCCGTTGCTGGCGCCGCCATTGGCCAGCGCAGAGCCGTTCGCATCCGTCATGCTGGTCATGTGGCCGCCGTGATCCATGCCCACCAGACCGCCATTGTGATGGCCGCCGCCGTTGGCGCCATTATTGCTGGGCGTTAGTGCGACGCCACCCAGCGCCAAGCTGGCCAAATTGGTGCCATTCTTGAGGACATCGCCCGTGGACTCCTTCTTTATTGTTTCCGAATACTTGAGGAAGTGCTGTATGGAGATTGGCAGTGTTGCGGATAGCAAATGCGATGAATAGTCGACCGTGTTGGCGGTATTGGCCAGCGTTTGCCACGACTGATTGACATTCTGTAAGATTTGCTGATTGAGCACTGTGAAAGAGGACGGAGAGATATGTGAGTATAATATGAACTCTATGTATATCCGGGGTGTGGGGTATTCTAGCAAGGTCTATATAGACTGTTCCTTTGTGAAACTATTTCAAGGAACTCGCTCAATTGTAAAGCTAAGATCCTATTAAAGAGATCTGAGTGCAACTCGCCAATTATAATCCTTATAAAGCTCCTAGATATTATACAAATGGACAACTTAATCTGACTATGATTAAAATGGATTGGGTTATAAAATATATTCACGACAATCGCCTGTAAATTGTGTTTAGATAATATCCGAAGATATTTATCTACAAGGGTATCTAATCTTTGATACACACAAAGTTAACAGCAATTTTTCGTGCCTCTCGCTCTGCTTTTGATGATGATGCTGATGGACACACCCAGGACACAAATCCGAATTCCCAAACCCCACAACTCTTCCCTGCCTCCCCCCTTGAACGTGGCCTTACAATAAAGCATTTGTACTAAATATGTGTCCACGCCCACCTCAGCTCCTTCAGTTCATGCATTATCTAATAGCTTCCTGGATAATTTTCTTGCTGAAAGAAAACCAAAGGCAGATGAAAAAAACCTACCCCAACAACAAAAAGCTTTGGCTTGGCAACTCACGCACTCACGCACACACACACACACACAACCCGTGTGTGCGTCTGTGTGAATAGGCTCAATTCTATTTTCTTGATAATCCCAGGCTGCCCCCTCCACACCCTTTTGTAGACCACCTACAGTTACTGCCGCCAAGGACACATGACATGCCGCATCCCTAACCCACTCTCTTCGCAGCAGAACACCCCCTACCACCCCCCACCTTTCCCCGCTGCTTCCCCGGGGGCAAGGGCTCAAGTTTTCAGGCTGCTCTTTTAAAGTTAATACGCCCACGTGGAAAATATGTGTGTGTGTGCGTGTGTGTGGAAAAGTTTGTGCTCGACAACAAGTAAACAGAAATTTTGAAAACTTGTTAATAGGAAATACACACAGACACACACATTCAAGCGCAGAGGGTTCATAAATTGCTAGCAGATAAAAGTTGTTGGCCGCTCCAAAAAGTATGCTACAAATTCGTAATCCAGACAGGGCGCAACATTTTCCTTCTTTCTTTTTTTTATATAAATAACATTTAAGCCGAAGCGGACCGAGTGCGGGGCAGCGGGGCAGCGGGGCAGGGCAGGGCGCGCACGAAGAATAATGCGCGTCCTTGAAATTACATGCCATATAACAGATAGCTGCCCAAAAAACACAAAAAAAAAGCCGAGACCCAAAAAAAAAAAAAATAAAAAGGAAAAACAAAGAATGTATAGTCCCCCCCCCCCCCCCCCCCCCCCCCCCCCATCTACCGTCAAATATAAACCCCTGCCGCTAACGTCGCCGACTCACCTTCTTCCCGGTCACGTTCAATTTTTGGATGGATTTTACCCTTATGATCCGCTGCAGCGGCCGCGTTCAGAAAGTTCAGATCACTCTGCGGCTGCGAGTATGGTATGGATATATTTTGACCATATTGCATATTATTGGCCGCCGAAACTATAAAAATAGAAGAAAGAGAGAGAAAGAAAGCAAGAAACATTAGTAATTGATAAAGTAAAAGAAAAAGACACAATTTTTGTGAGGTTAGGTCATATTTACACATGCTCGAAATTGCGCTAGAATCACAGCCTTATATGGTTACTTTATAGATATTTTAAGTTTTATATAATTTCTATCAATTTTATTTAATATATATTGTATATTTTATGTGTATAGCTTGTGTTAAAATTTGTTTAACTCCAGGCCGCCGCAAGCGAGCTCCAGCGCACAACGACTAACTACAACTGACTGAGACCTGCGTCTGACTGAGCAGCAGCAGCTCCAGCTGGCAGCGGCGACGGCGACACATACACAAACAAACAGAATCACGCACACAACGAACGAGGATCGGGTGCCGGCTAAAAGCGGGCGGCTGTTCGTTTTGTGCACGACGTCTGACAATGTCCCAGTGCCGCACGATTTATACTTCGTGTGTGTGTGTGTGTGTGTGTGCTTTTATACATATACATGAAGCTACTGCCTGTATGTATGTGTGTCTTTGTAGGCAGCTACACTTTGTTAGTAGTTGGCAACACTGGCTGCTGACGGCTGACATGCGTATGTTGTTGTTGTTGCTGCCGTTACTTTTAGGCGGCTGTGGGCATGTCTGCCTGCCTGTTTGCCCGCCTGTCCCTGCCTGCTTGCCTGTCGTCGCGCTGCCAAGGCCAAATTTTGCACCCACACACACACACACACATAAGCGCACTGAGCGAGAGAGCACACGTGCAAGCCACGCATACATAGGAAAAAGGAAATTAAAATTGAAAATACCGGCCCTACCGATGCGCCTCAAATGTATGCTACACACACACACGTACCCCACAGCGTGTATGTGTGTACGCGTATTTTTCGGCATTGCCTTTGCGCCAGCATTTTGCCGGGCGCTCGTTTTTATTAATAAATATTTTCTGGCTGTTGCCAATTGGCCCGGTTTTTTGTTAGTATTTTTCTTTGTATTTGCTTCCTTTTTCCTGATGAAATGATTCTATACACACAGGATGGGAGAGTGGAAGACAAGAGTTATGCAGCATGGCATGCAGCATGGTTTGCAGCAACAAAAAAGGTTACAAATTTAATAATAATAAAAAGAAGAGCCGAAAAATTGAAAAGCGTTACATATACATGTGGGTGTGCGACTATGTGATTGTGCCTGTTGTTGAGTGTGAGTGTGTGTGCGTGTGTGTGTATTTATGCTCAGCAACTGACAGTCAGTCCCTTGAATAAATTAACTTGTGACCTTGCATTATAATTTAACATATTTCTTATGCTTTAATGCCCACAGTAGCATAATATACTCTAGCACACTTTTGGGGTAAACTAATTTAATGCGCTAACCTCAATTAGACGGATGTGCCCGTGGGGAAAGGGGAACAGATAGAGAGATAGAGAGAGAGAGAGAGAGAGAGAGAGAGAGAGAGAGAGAGAGAGAGAGAAAGATTGCCCTGCGTGCATAAATAAAGCAAACAGGCTAATGGGATCTAATAAAGGAACGTAGTCCGCATGGAGGATTAAGCTGAAACAATTGACAAGCGAACCGTAAAAGGCACCAAAAGACATCTTTCGAAAACAGACTTGGAAATGAAATTATTCCAGGAACCAGTGTATTCTTAAAAGCAACATTTTATTTAATTAAATATACTAATTATGATTAATTTAGTATTTTTACAAGGGGAAAACAAAAATATGCGCTAGCACAAGCCATCGAAATTGCATAAAAGCACTCGTGAGTTAAAATATAAACTTTACACATAAACCAAACAAACGATTTGTAGTCAGTGTTAAAAAGTTTTCGAAGCCCACTTGAAATGGTGAAATGTGTATGTTTCATTTCCATTCATTGCAAAAGCTTTCTACAAATTTTGAGATTTTTAATTTAGGCAAATTATTGAAACATAGTTAGGCCTTAGGGGCAGACCAAAAATTAAATCAAAAGCTTGTCTAACTATGAATATTTTCCAAAAATTCCACAAAACTCTTTGAAGAAGAAACCAACTAATAATTATTAGATCTACTTCAGCCAACCATTTCTTGAGGAACTAGTCAAAAAGTGTAGGATGAGCCTACATGCTTACGCACGAAAAATCGATTGATATAAAAGGCCCAAAAATCTCGACACACAGCGACGAGAACTTCTTCCCCCCCCCCCCCCTTCCTCCTCTAACATGCGGGTACAAACAAAAAAAATAAAGGCCGAGATAATCAAATATTATCCGAGCAATTAAATTGCCCACCCCACCCCCTCCTGGATAAACAATGAAAGCAGTTAGACAAATGCAAGACTTATGTAGCCGTAATTAATCAAGTGAATAAACTGAGTGCACAGAGTAAGCGGCGGGCCCCAAAAAGTAGACAACGAAAAGTGACATAAAAAAAAACCAGCTGCCCATAAAAATGACAAACAAGAAACAACAAAAAAATAACACACACAAGCTGACAACAACAAATACGAAACGGAACATGGAACGGGTATGCGAAATGTCAGACAGAAGAGGAGCAGAATTGACAGACGCACGGAAATACTGGGCTAAGCCTGTGTGAAATCGAGCAACGGACTACGTCGAGCCACCGACGACAACAAAGCTGAAAACAAGCGCTCCATTTTCCATCAACGTACCCGGCATTCTCGTTGTAACATTTCACTTTTCACTTCACTTTCACATGGGCCACACGACAACGTCGACAACGACCAGCAGCAGCAGCAGCAGCAGCAGCAGAGGCAGCGGCAGGACGAGCACAAGAACGGATGAGTAAGAGAAACGGCAAACGAAATGACAGATTGTTGTTGTTGCTGCTGCCTAGCAACGAGTTAAAGTCGGTGAAAACTGAAACACGGCCAAGCGAGAGTGAGAGCGCGCCCAACTTCAAATGAGCGTGTGTGGAGAGAGAGTGAGAGAATGAACGCGCGCGCCTGTGTGTGTGAGTGTTTGTGTGTGTGAGAGAGTGTGTTTGTTGGGCGCACGCTCTCCAATACCACAATATGGCGGCGGCTGGCTTAGGTTTGAGTGGCACAGCCAAAGTGGAACAAAATGGAAAGGAATTCGCTGGGTTTGGGGAACGTTATGGAAAAACATGGCGCTACGCTCTGCATGCCTACTTTTAAGTGTGTTTATAGTGCCGGCACACTCAGTGAAAGCGGTGAGAGAGAGAGAGAGTGAGAGAGAGCGCGCGCGCAACAGAAACATATATAAGTATAAAAATACATGCACATATGTGTACATAGAGTAGAAGAGAGAGTGAGAGAGCGAAAAGCGAGGTTAGCAAAAACTGCAACCCCTATTAGAGTTGGGGGTTTTAACGCCCGCTGCTCGTGGTTTGGGCGTGTGTAGCGCGACGCGGCGCCAGTCGCCAGAGTTTGAGTCATCAGCGACAGCAATAACAACAACAAAAACTACAACAACAATAAACCAATCCAACCACAATAGAGTTGCCAGAATCAGCTTTAAGCCTTAAAGTTGCCATATGATAGGAAAAAGCTTTATTTGGCTTTATTGTTTTAAACTTGCCTGCTTTTTTCGAAGGGCTTAAGGGCAAAGTGGCAGGAGGGGAAGGGGTGTCTAACTCAATTCCATGCACGCCCAATGCGCTCATATATCAACTCTGTACATATATGCAAACACTCAGACACACAAACACATACACATATGTATATACAGTGAAGGCTCTATTAACGGACATTTCTCTTTGGCGTCAAAGTTTTTCCAATGTTTTTCCCAACTTTTTGAACATTGCTGGCATTTGTCCTAATTTGTTGTACAAGTCTCCCTGGGGCGAAGAAATTATCGAAATCCAAAAATGCGGTTTGGGATTTTTTGGTCCAAGGTTTACCTAATTTTTTATATCTAATTTGAAAAGTTTCAAGCATATTATTATAATTGGCACTTACATATATAAGGATATATAAAGCATTAACGAATTTATATTATTAGACGTACGTGTCTGTTCAAATGGGCTTTCACTGTATTTACTTATACATATATACACCTAGCCTGACAGACTTATAAGCACGCGCATTTTTAGTGTTGCATAGCGTCAGGCTTCGTGGGGGTGTAAACCCAGCCAGCACACACACTCGCACTCACACTCCCTCACGCACACACACATACAGTCTGTTATGTACACATAGAAATATGTACATGAGTGCAAATAATTTATGGGGGGTTGGGCGCGCCCATGCGACCCTCTTGACAAACCGCAATATTATCACATACATACGCCTCGCTGGTCATCTGCATGGCATATAGTATTCCCGATGCGTCAATCGGATCGTGTTAATAAACAGATCGTGCTATGATTAAATGCGAGCCTTAACTAAGCACATGGCTAATTTTAAGCACCCCAACCCCTAGCGGGCGCTCTCCCACTCTCCCAGTTTCACTCTCTCAGTATTTTCTTTTTCTTTACTCATCCTTGCCCTCCCCGACGCTTCGTCATCGTTTAAACGGAAAAATCAATGAGCCACAAATATTGTACCTTTTATTTACATTTTTTGTTGCTGTTTTTTTTTTTTCGTTTTCCTTTTATTTTTTTTGGACTTTGCTTATTTGCCTTGAGTTGACGTTGAATTTCTTATATCTACTTAAAGAGTTGCCCCCAGGAATTGATAAATTATGTAAATCGCACACAACAAAAATAAACAAATATTTACACCAGGTGCTTGAACTTGAAAGAAAGTTAAGGGTACGTACTACGTAGCATCCATATTGTGATACAGCCAGAAAAAGGAAAGTTGAAATGATTTTTTGATGGGAGCTCATGTCTTAAACTGATATAAATAAACAATATTAATGTTTACTAATGAATAAATAAATATGGTTAGACATGTTCTATGATGTTTTTTTTTTACTGAGAAAAGTAATCGCAATCTTTAAATTTTTATAGAAAGATTAAAAATATTTATTTACATCTTTAAATAAAAACCTTAAAATTCTTTCAGTTTTATTATAAAGCGTTTCAAGATGTTTTATCTATAACAACAATAATGTAATCCTTATCCGAATCGGAATAAAAAAGCCTGAAAGATATTTACTTAATATAATAGGAAACGGGCAAATATATGATGACGATAGTACTTTGATCTTTTTAGAGATCTCTTGGCAAAGTATTTATGCATTTAATTAATATTTATATCCTATAAAACGGATAACCGACAATAAGTAAAATGATTTATGTGTATTTGGTTTTCATTGCATTTTTGATTGCAGTTAATGTTAAGTAACATGAACCATATTTATAAAATTTGTAGTAAACATTACTGTTAAATAAAAATAAACAATAAGCACGGCAATTAGATATATGAAAGTTCTTCACTATCGAAGTTTTTCCTTACCTCACATCTCAGTCTAGCTAGATAATAGATAAATCATTGACTTGAAATATCTAAGAGTCCGAATCTGTTGCTAGTCGATATCTCAGTTCATACGCATGTGATTTATAATGCGAGACACGATATCGCATGCTATATCTATCTCCCAGAAAACAAAACTGGACTCTGGGACGTTTTTTTTTGTTGTTGTTGTTGCCAGCTAATAAGCGACAAGAAAATGCGGTAGCTCGACTGAGCAGGGAGCGGCATGCAGCGGGGGTAACAGCGCTCTACCTGCAACGACGCACACACACACACACACACACACACACACTTTGCTAGATAAAAGAGCAACCCACACTCACACATGCACAACTCCGACACATGCATAGACACATTTTCATGTTGTTGCAGGTAAAAAATAAAAAAAATGTGAAAAACCAAAATGAAATGAAATGAAATAAAACGCTAAACTGGAAATGTAATGCGTAGAGCTGAACACCTGGGATCAATGAACTATACAAAACAGTGGCAAATGGCAGTTGGTATCGAGTAGGAGTTCGAGTTTGAGTTCGAGTTGGGGTTCGAGTTTTGGTTCTTTAACGTGCTGCATTTTCCAGCGTGCATAAATGAATTATCAGCTATTTGCGGACTGGGCAACCAATTATGCAAGTGAATGCAACTAATTGCAATTGATAAAAGATGTGATGTGAGCCTATCAAAGCTGGTTTGAGCTGGGTTTGGTAGATAGGTAAGCGCTTCGCGGCCGACTAATCGCAGCTCTGCAGTTTCTAGTTCAAATCGCTCAACTAGTTCATTGCAATGAACTAACTATGATCGGTCTCAGATGAACTATTGAAAAATATTCGAAAATGAACTTAAATGAACGACCAAACTATGTTGGGCCACAACGAAACTGCTGATGAACGTTGAAACTAGATTTGATCGAGTGAACGGATTGCCACCCAAGTGAACCACTGAACGATTTTGAAAGCAAATGAACCACTCAACGATTTGGAATGCAAATAAACCACTGGGCGATTAGGGAATATAATAAACAAACTGTTTGAAAGTCAAGTGACCTAAGATGAACGTGCAAATTCAAGTTGGGATGTTGCTAAACTAATAACTAGAACTATAAGCTAGGACGTAGTTTAGTTGTTCAGTTGGGTGATTAGTTGATTTGAGGTCTGTCCGAATGATTCGGTAGAGCTCTGACTGCTTATGTACAATGCGTTTGCGTTTAGGGGTTGGGCTGGCAGTCACCCTGCCACAAAGAGTTGCAGCTTGGCTAAAAGGAAGTCAGTGCAATTAAAAAGGCAGCGACGCTGCTTTGCCGCAAACTGGGGTTGGGGTTGAAAACTGCGCACACACACACACACAAACATACTCAAACTCCCCCGTTTAATTGAGTGTGTGTGTGTGTGCTGAGTAGCTAACGACAGTAAAACCCACCCCCGGGGCTAAAGTAAATGCAGCAAATTCAAAAGTTATTTGAGTTCATTGCATTTCCAAGCGAAGCTAAGCAACAACAACAACAACGAGAGCGAGAAAAACTGGCAATAGCAGCAACGGGCACACACTCTCTCTCACACACACACACACACATACAGGCACAGTGTTAAACGGGGGTGGGTGGTAATGACTCAAAACATAGCGCAGCAGAAGGAAAATAAAACAGCAAAAAGAACGAAAAATCGTTAGATTCGGTTATGTCGACAGCCGCATCCGCTCCGTCCCGTTGCCTGTTGATTAGGGTATTTGCGCTTTTTTTTTTTAAGATCTGGGGTGCACATTTATTTGATGGGGTGGAAACAAAGATATTGAAATCTGCACATGTATAATTTGCGTTTAAGAGCAATTAGTAAATATCAATATAAACAAATTCAGAGATACTCAATAAAGTAAAATAAACGAGTATTTAATAAAATATTCAATCACCGACAAGTACGTACTACTATCTAGCTGAAGACCGTGGTAGTATCCACTTATCATACATTTTTATTTGATAAGTTTATATCAATTAATAAATATACAATACACAATTTAAGCCTAGTTCATAAAAGAATATATGAATCACGTGTGCATTTTATGAAAGAATCAAAAGTATTATTTACAATATAAATATATATATTTTTTGATCATTTTGTTTATTCACACGGTTGATATAATGTAACAAAACATAAAAGAAATGATCATTTCCCATATTACAACTTATATCGAGCTTATTTTTATGAACGAAGGTCAATCGTCTTTTGAAAAAATATGTTGAAGTTTAAAATTTTGATTTTCGCTCAATATCAACAAAAACTCGTTTTTGTGGCAGGTGGCAACACTCGTGTGAACGCAACATGGTTTCAATGCATTTTCTTTCAATGCGAACTAGTTCTGTGAACTGCAAACGAATCACTAAGCGGCTGATCAGTTGTTTACGTTCTCTCTCGCTCTAACCAATGATATTACGTATGCTGCGCGCAGCAAAACCAAAACCAATGCAAACATTTAATGCTCTTATACATATGCGCAGTTGTTTTTTTCTTCTGACATTGTTCAAGTTGATCCTCTACATTCTTCTTCTTTTAAATCAAAACATGAATGTTGTGCTAGTTACACATGTTCAAAAGACCCCAAACGGCGTGTTGTAGTGGATGGGCATAGGGAAAAGCAAATCGTTGCCGCTCTTGTTGATGTTGTTGTTGCTGCCGACGCCAGCGCTGACGTCGGTGGCGACGAAAACGGCAGCGACGTCGACAGCACCAGGCGAAAATAAATCGATAAAAATAAAATAAATTTTTAGTGATTATGTTATATACATATATATACACATACATGCAGCGCGCATATTTAAATGCATGTGTATATATAGAAATGTGCATATGTATAATTGTCTTGTGTATCTGTATATGTGTGTGTATAAGCACTTACCGTTGGGCACATTCTGATTGAAATGATTGCCATTGGTCTGATAGCGCTGCACATGATTGTCGCTGCCCGCTGCAGCGGCCGCAGAGTTCACCGGCGGCGTACCAAATGCGCCCGGTGTTTGTGCATCAAATTTAGCGGCAAACTGATGAATGCCAGAGAAAGGGCCGCCGAATGCGGAGAAATTCATCATGACAGTTTTATGTTGTTAACAGAGATTTACGCATACACGCACAGGCCGCGGTCTCACGCGCGCACACGCACACAGGCAGGAGCCGCGATGCCTGTGTGGAATTGCTGCCTTTTGGTTTTTAGAGCGTCTGCTCACTGCCCGTTATTATATTTTGGGGCTTGTGTAACACTTTCGCTTTTTTGTTGGTTGTTTTCAAATTGCACTAACCAACACCAATAACAACTGTAAATGTAACTTAAACGTTTCGTCGAGCCTGAGAAATTGAAATACGATCGAATTGGAGAAGCAGAAACAGGCGATGGGCGATGACGATGACGATGACTATGCGGCGCTTTTCAACTGTGGGTGGTGCTAACTTGGCTGGATTTGTTTTTGTAGCTGCCGCTGTTGTTGTTTTTGTTGTTGTTGTTGTTGCTACGCTTGTTGGTGGGGGTTGGTTTTTGGTTGGTGTGGTGTGGCGAGGTACACACTCACACTCGCGTGAACACGTTGGTATGAGCGCGCGATTGTATGCAGCGCTTTGCTTTTTGGGGGTAGCAAAATGTACAACTTTCAATTTCGCTTAAACTAAACACATACTGAGACAAAATACACAACACCAGCAACACACACGCACACACAATCACACACGAGGCAACGTCGAGCGCGACGACGACGACGTCGACGGCGAACAACAACAATAATAAAGTAGAATTAAACGAAAGTCACGCTTACAACCGGCTCGTCGAGGCTCCGACATCAAACTAAAAGTAACATTACAACGAAAGAAAGCGGAAACACTGGGGCAGGCAACGGCAATCAGGCGCAGGCAGCGACTGCGACTGCGACTGAACCAGAGACTGAGAAACAGAAACAGAGACGCCAGCGGCAACAGCGACGCAATGGACAAATGACAGTGACAGCGCAGCTCTCTTTTTTTGTATTAGTTCGCTAATATGTATGTACATACATACAAATGTTTGTGAGCATGTGTGTATAGTGCTTGTGTGCGCTGCTTTGAGGGTGGAAGTTTTTCTACTTCTCTGGAAAATGTGCGTTTATTTGTACGTTCTTTATAATGCGTTTCTGGCTGGGTATATGACACTTAACCGAACACTTAAGTACAGATATTAATTAAAAAAAAGTTCACAAGCATTGTATAGAAAATTCTTAAGTTATATTATTAGACGCTAAATTTAAATTTACCACAGATATGATGTAAATCGTTTGTTTACTTAATCAACGCCTATTGAACTATAAAATAGTATATTCAACTATTTAATTATATTTAAATGTCTTAAGAATTCTGTATTTACAGGACATTCGTAAGTCGACCATCACTTACCAGAGAACTCACAAACGGCGTGCCTTGTATTCGTATTTTTATTTGGTTTTCCAACTTCTGGGGTTGTGTGGCCTGGCCATAGCAGCCGCAGTGAACGGCCAGTGCATTTATATACATGTATGTATGTATGTACTGTATGTATGAATGTACATACATATGTATGCATCTATGTTTGTTTATACACGCGCTTATATGTAAGCATTAACGTAGCTGCATGCGTACGTTTGTGTGCTTGTATGTATGTATGTACACATGAATATGGGATGTCTAGAAACGCACAGCAGCATTCTCGGCCGCGTCGCCGTTGCTGCATTCAATTCTGCTGGCGTTGCCTATGGTGCTTGTGTTAATGAAAGTGAGTGCAGCATCAGCATAAGCACTTGTCTGTATGCGTGAGTATGAGGATGGGAGACGCTCTAATAAGAGAGCAGTAGCCGCTGCTCGCCAAAGCAGCAGCAGTCTCTCAGCCAGCAGCATTCACATGCATTTGTTTTTATGCCTGTGCTGCGCTTGGCCTGCAAGTGTTTTATTGTTTTTCCGATGCCCTACGCCGCGCATGTTACGCGCTTTTAAGCGAACAGAGACAAATAAATATTAGAGAACAAAAAGACAAATGGCTCATAGAATCGAAATGCAACATATTAAGTACTTTTAGTTAATAATTGGTAGAATAAATTGGTCATGTTAACCAACTCTGAAACTGGTTTAGAGCGCAGCTAACAGTCGCATAGGCTTAAAAGTCGCTGAAGCGTTTTCCTTCTTTTGTGCTCCTGATGATGTTGTTGTTCTTTTCCTCCTGCTCTGTTCTTCTATTCGTTGACTTACTATGAGGGTTGGAGTTTTTGACTTTCCATGCGTTCTTTTTAACTCGGACTCGCTCATTCTCTTGCGCTTCTCTCGCCTCGTCTTTGTTGTTGTTGGTGTCTCTTTCAATGCAATGTATTTGTTACGGCTGCATCTCTCTCAGAGCTCTTATTGTTACATGTGTGTTTATCTTTAATTTCTATACATATTTTCCAATTATGCATTTACTCCACGGCCAAATTCAGCGTGTACGTGTATGTATGTACATGCATAATCATCTATGTACATACATACATACATACATATGAGGCTTATGTTTTTATAAGTTTCTTTATTATTAGCTACATAATAATTATAATTCATTTAGCGGCACAGTAGAACAGTTACACGCACGAAAAAGCCTGCTCGTGTATATGTACATAAACATCTTCCCATGCTGCTAGTTGAGACCCCATCTATTAATCACAGGCACAACCCATATCATCATCGATTCTTTTTGTACATTATATACATGCACATATGTATGTACTTATATACCACATCCACATTAGTTTTCTGCATTCTAAAGAGCTGCTAATATGATTATCTTTGCACCATACCAACTAAAGTTGCCCCATCCCCCTTTCCAGGAGAGCTCCTACTCTCTGCTCCTTTGATTATGTCTAGGAGGGGGAAGGGTAGGGCATCATCAATCAGGGAGCTTAACATTAAAATTACAAAAATATTTTCCCACTATCATGTTTATTCAATTTTATTAATTATTATGAGCTTTCATCTGATGTTTTCATACAGTTCTGGGCATGAGATATTACGTGAGGTGTGGATTTTAAGCCTTGCTAATTGAAAACTGCATAAGCAAATTACGTTGAGGGGCTTACATCGTTCAAAATCCCCACATAAGCCGTTTTAAAATAGCTGCGTGCTTAAATTCATATATTGTCCGATTTCATATCATATTTGGCAAATTAAAGGTACGACATACTGTTTGGTTGTTCAAAACTTAAAGTTAAGCCATTTGAGTGCATTCCGTATGAAAACACCAGCATTATAATGCGTACATATATTCATATTCATATTCATATATATATATATATTTGTATATATATTTGTATTCGAGAGGTTACAATTTATAAGTAAATACTTTCAATGTCATTTATGTCACTTCCATCGAATATGCACCAAAAAAATAATGCCCAGACATACAATTGCCGTCCATATTGTGTTTATATATATATAGATTATTTTACGTATAATACCTTTAAGCTAGAGTATATATAAAGAGATATATTGAAATGATCAATGATTTGCTAACGGTTTGGTTTCTGTCCTGGTTGCTCCTAACGAATGCTTACAAAATATTTTTACTATATATATGATTATTTATCAAAATATTGTTTATACATAGTAAAGCCTTGGATTTTTTTGTGCATATTTCTACACGGTGTTTGTTGTATTTAAAAAAAAACCAATACAAAATATTAACAACATTAAGGTATAATACGGAAAACTTTGTAAACCCGAAATAAACGTGTCAATTGCCAACTTAAAAGTTAATATCACACAAAATATTAAATATATCGAATATAACAGCGCAAATAATTGAATTGTTTAAGCGAATGTTCACGTTACAAATCATAATACAAGGTATATGAATATCGTTTGTGTATATATAAATATTGACAGAGATATATAAGTATATGTTGCAGCAAGCATGTCTGTGGTTTTCTTATATCAGCTCGAGTATTAGAATATTAAGCATTGAGTTTTACTTGCTCAGATCTAGCAAAATTATTAAATATTTTATATAATAGATCTGCATCGATTATATTTGTATAGTTGCGCGATTTAGAGAGGATAGCCGAGTGCAGCCGAGAGCAGCGGCTCCCAGGCGCGATTTATGTCCAAATAGAGTCCTGTGCACTGCTCGGCGAGCGTTTCATCATCGTCCAGTATGGTTATAGGGAAGAGATCGTTCTGTTTGAATGGTATCTAATATTAGTAATACATTTTTTATAGTTATTCCGAAATGAACGCACATTTTTGGACTGCCAAAGCTGCTCGAGCAGCCGCAACAAGCGCTGCATTTCCATGCTGCTCGCAAAGAATAGAATCAAATCATCTTGACATTCCAGTGGCGCCTCCTGGCAGGAGAATTCCAATATGCACCACCAGGTCTCACTATGTGAGGGTATTTTAATGCCAGTCATTGCTTTAATATCCGCACAGGTTAGTATCTCCAGTCCCGAATTTTTGCCATAAACGCTGCTCATGCTTTGCGCTTGTCCTGACACAGTTTTTGGTAGAGCTTTGGACGCATCCAGCGGGTGCTTTGTGGGGGTGGAGTTGAGTGAGGAACAGGAGCGTTGTGTGCCACGTGTGGGCGAGCTCATGGTAGAGCTTAGCTAAGAGTTTAACATGAATTAACGACGAGTTGCTTCTCTAGGCAAATGGAATACTCACCAAGCTGCTGGTTTCGAAGATGCACAACATATCCTCCTCGCGCAGCAGCTGCTTGTTCTCGGCAGCGGCTGGCGGTGAATCCGGCTCCTTGTTCAGTTGTCGCAGGGGCGCAGCAAAGTCCTCACGCAGCGTTATCAAATGGTTCTGGGTGACTATCAGAGTGCAACCCAGAGCCTTGTGCCGCTCCTGCAGCTCGAACAGCTGTCAATGGGAATGTTGACACATTAAATTTTGAAAGTGCTTGTTTGTGCATTTCACTACTTACACCACTGGCTGACTGGAGCAGCGCCTGCAGCCACTCGGAAGCAACATACTCATCCGGGGCTGCCATTTGCAAAAGCTCGCCCTTGAGCATGATCTCAAAGCAATGAGGTCGCGCAGATTTGATAGCACGCCTGGCGCCCTGACACTCGGCCAGCGCCATGGCCCAGCTGGGCAGCTTTTGCGTGGAATCATGGAACATGTAGAGCACGCCCGCTCTGTACGATTGGGCACACACATATTATACATATATGCTTAAATTCTATGCAGTTTCAACTTACTTTAACAGAAAGTAGCCCGGCTGCCAGCTGATCTTGGAAGCGGCGGTTGCTGTGGCTGTTTCTCGCACCCGTCGGTGCATGAGAAAACCCTTGATGTGCGGCCCCAGCGGCTCCTGTTCGCCATCTAGGCCCATGCCCAGAGCACCGCCAGCCGGCATATTGACCACCGCATAGAACATCCAGTGCTCATCCTTGCCCACGCAACTGTTTGCACGCACAAAGTTCTGCAACGGCGCCAGATGCTCCAGTGTCAGTTGACCCACGGCGGGCAGCGTTGAGCCGCTGCGACGAGCACATAGCTCCAGATTGGCAACGAGTGCATCTGCTGGATAAGGTCCGCCGGCGAGCAGCACCTGCTGCATGTCCCGCATGCTGTTGCTTAGCAGCACCGTGTTCCCAAAGGGACCCATCTGAGTAGTAGGAAGTTTATTAAATTGAGATTTCGATTAGACTGTGCCGCTTACCAATATGACATCCAAATCCTTGTAGGCCAGAACAAATTTTGCGCACAAGCAATTGCGTACCAGATCTGTCACGTAGAGCGTTTTATCCGTAAGCAACACCAGCACCGGTGTCATGAAGCCCTCGCGACTGTAGCCAGTGTACAGCTTGAAGACCTGCAAGGACAAAGTATGTATCACAGGAGTGCTCCCAGTTAGAAGTTATTCACTAGGATTTATGTTTAACATAAATTGGCCGTGTCTCACCTTTAGCAACTGCTCATTGGGCTCTCGCAGCATGGGCAAATGTTTGCCACTGAATATATCAATGGATATTTCCCCGACGCCCAGTTCGAAACGGGCGACATCTCCCGGCAAATCGAGATCCAGACCCACGGCCAATTCGCGTCGCGGCGAATTGGCTCCAGACATCTCAATCTCCATGGCAATCTCGGCATTCAGATCGTCGATCAGCTCGTAATTCTTGGGCCGCACGCCGCGCAAATAGAGATTCGAGGCCAATTGCTTGTTATCGCCGCGTAGTTTATCCGCAAAGAAATCATTTTTTTTAATGGAGGATTCTAGTATTTTCTTCTGTGTCACATTGCGCAGAAAGCGATTGATCAGCGACGTTTTGGCCGCCGGCACTGGCGGTTTCAATAGCTGTGCATAGTCCACGTCGGTGTAGTCCACAATTACAAGATCGCTCTCCGTGGAAGGACGCTCATTGGCTGTATCCGTGGTGGTGGTTATAGTCAGAATATCATCAAACTCCTCGCTGATTATGGTGCTCTTCGAATCACGTCCGCTCCCGCCGGCGCCCCGTGCGCCCAAATAGCTGCTCGGACTGTGCAGACTGCGACTGGTCAGCTGCTGCTGCTGCGGCTCGCCATAGCGTGGCGGCTGTCCGCAGCGCTTCTTCAGCGGCGATGGCAGATGACGCGATTGTCGCTCCAAGCTACCCAGCACCAAACCGTGCACATTGTTTGGAGTCTGCGACTTATTATAGGACGCAGAGTTGCTGTTCGTATTGTTGCTAATGGAGCTAAGCTCGGATATGGTTGATGACGAGTGGGTGCTGGGCAGCTTGTTGGGTAACGGTTGCTGGGGGTGCGGCTGCGACTGCTGCGGCGTCTTGGAAATTTTGGAAGCTTATTCGGGAAAACGAATTTCGTTCATAAATGAGTATATTAAAGAATATTTAACTTCTTTACCAAAATAACTTTCAGTTGCTGCCTGTTGCTGTTGAAGTTGCTGCTGCTTCTGCTCGTGCTCCTTGTCAGCTGACGCACTGCCTGAGCTCTCCTTAAGACTGCGAAAGAAGTTGCTAAACGTCTTGGCTATGGGTGCGCCCATAAATGAGCTGCGCAGCTGACTCGCTGGCTGGGCAATGGGGGTGTTCCGCTCCAATAGGCTGGCCACGCTGCTGTGCTGTTTGGCCGACATGGCGAACTGCAGCTCTGACTGCTGCGGCCCGCTGGTTTCGTAGGAGACGCCCGTATGCTCAAAAACGGTGCTTTCACAATTGATAATGAACTTGCTGCGGAACTCGCTCTGTGTGCTGGTGACATTCGGTGCCACGGCGGCTGTTTCCTTATCGAATTCATCTTGACGTCGCAGCGTATGTGGCTGCTCTGGGGGTGATGGCTCCGCGGCGCTATTTTGCTCATCATTTTTGCGACGCAGCTGCTCGTCCACGTTGTGCACAAATTTCTTGGTGCACTGCGTCTGTTTATTACCATCTAGACTCTTGCTGAGAAAGGGTTTGGCCTTGAGCAGCGGCGAGTCGGGCGACTGGCATGTTGGCGCATATGACTTGGACTTGTGCTCGGGCGTTTGCTCCAGCTCCGGCACGCACTCCACCACCGATTGCAGATCCTCGGAGCCCTCGGGCACACCACGCTCGGGCAGTGGCATGGTAAAGATGCTCTTCAGCGAGCCGAATATCATTTTGCTGCTATTGTCCAGCAACTGATGCTTTATGTCGTGCACATTGAACTTCTTGACGCGATCATTGAGATCCTGCTCGTGTATAATGTTGGTGTGGCGTTTGGTTTTCTTCAGACAGCTGGACTTGGGCTTCTTCTCCTTGTTCCACACGGATTTCTGATTGGGGCTGCCGGCATCCCCAATATTGGGCTCCGAGAAGTAACAATTGTCGCCTGGTTTTTATGAAATTAGTAAGTATAAGATGAAGTATAAGAGTAGCATAGATAATAAGAAGACTTACCAATCAAATTATTGTTGGCATTGCTCATGCCAATGCAATCGCAGGAGCTGCTCTTGGCCTGCTCATAGTGTTTGCGATTGTCATTGGAATTCTTGCCATTGGAGTTCTTGTCCTGCTCATCAGAGTCCAGGCTCGAATTGGAGCTGCTGCAGGCGCATCGATAAAGCAATCGCTCATCCCGTTGCTTCGCTTCTGATGTGGCCGCATACTCAAACACGCCGGAATTGTCATATTGCAGACCCACTGGCTCATTGGTATCATAGATATCCGTGTTTCCATAGTCTAGCACATCCGAGCAGGCATTGCGATAGACCAGTCGACGATTCTGGCCTATCGCTCTGTCGCCAACCACCTGTTCGGCATCGCGTCCAGCTGTGCTGAGCTCGGTGGGCGCCTGAACGCGCTCCCGTTCTGCGCACCAAGAATAGCGGCCGGCGGCACCGGCCACGCCCGCTGAATTGCCGCCCACCACGGCCAATTTGCGTCCATTTTTGTATGTGATAAAGCCATGCTCTATGTGTATGTTGTCGGTGCGTGTGTTCTTAAGAATATCCTCGTGAAATGATACGCGCTTTTTTGGCGCCTTTGGGGTGGATGAAGTTTTGTGCACCTTGCGCCTGTATACGATCTTTTCAGTAGTGTCAAAGGTCGAACAAGCGCTGCTAGTCATGGTCTCCTCCGCGGCCACATTCGAATTGTTGTCCACAGGCAGCTTCGCCTGCTGCTGTTGACTGACAGCTGGTATTGGCTTCACCGGCTCCTCGAACTCCAGACCCGACTGGGAGCACAGCGACTCGAGCATAAAATCGCTATTCTCCGAATCCAGCATTTGTACGCCCGAATCACTAGGAGTTGTATCCTCCAAGCTGCTGCTATTCATGCTGGAGCTCATCTTGTCGCCACTCGGCGAGACCTTGGCGCTCAGATTGTTGTTGACCTTGGGATATAGCGGTGAATCCATTACGACATCGTATGCATATGTCTCGCGTTGTTGTGCCAAGACCAGCGTCTCTGCTGATTAAAGTTTGTGTCACTTTATTTTGTTGTAATATTTGTCTAAACGATAATTTTTACGAATATTTGTCTGTAGCCAATTAGAAGCGCGCTTTAATGATAGAAAATATATAATTTGATCAAATATTAGTTATTTTCTCCGATTTTTATTCGGGTTTTTGTGTATCTTGGTTTTCTGGCAAGTAATCAATATCAATAGAAATTGCACACTGCGCCGCAGCCGCATCACGTCACTGTGCAACAAAGGAGTACACGGGCGACCCCACGACCCCTCCTCGTTAACCCAGCCAACTGTGCCGAAAAACCTTAATCACTTACAATCAAAAACTATAACGGTTTATTAACCGCACCTACCTTTGATTTTTTGAGAATATTCCATGTCAACTTGTGCTCGGCACTGTAAATTAATTTGATAACTTATATTTTATAGTTAATCTGAGTATTATCTGTTTTTTAGTTACATTTTAAAATAAGAAGTACACACACAAGTAAAACAAATCAATATTTATCATACAAAACGCAGCGTTGCCCACAAGTTGGCATACTGCAACTTTTGGGCAACTCATGTGCACAGCTGTGCGGCGTGCGTGGTACATCTGGCAACGCTCAACTGTTAACAACAGGTGAACATTGTTTACGCGCTATTTGAAAACGCTTTTTTGAAATTGATTTGTATTTAAATAGAACAACACGTAAGTAGCAAATAAATTTGTGGAATAATTGGCTTGAAATCGAAATTTTTTTTCACTTACACAATCGCAAGCCCAGATATGTCAATTATCGTTAAGGCATTACGCATATTATACTTTTCATGCTTGCATAGGGTATAATAATTTTGTGGAAACATTTGTCGCACAAGCAAGGCCCTTAGCTTGTTTTGCTGTGTGTGTACGTTTTCAATTCTCTCTCAATTCCAAGCAACACTTATTGTGAGGTATGTGCGTTGCGGCTTTTTGAAACCCGATTTCCATTTGCTTGTTTGTTTTGCACATACCTAGGGCATGTCATTTTTGAAAAGTACAATAGAAAAAAGAGGAATGCCAATGAAAACGAATGAAACCATACAAATTAAATATATATCACACCTTGAGCAGCGCACAGCCAACGCCTGTATAACTCTTTAATTTTTTGTTGTTAGGATTTGCCGTATAAACGGAAAGAAAAACAACTGTTTTGCATTTATTAAATAATCCAATAAATCACATTCAAATGCGACAATCGAGCTAGAAATGTTTCAGTTCTATCGGTCAATTATAAAATGTCAACCACATGCGAACAATGTGCCGTAAAACTATGAAGCTAAAATACAAACGTAAAAAACAACACGTGAAAACGCGCAAAACTATGCAATAAAAATAAATGTAGTAAATAGCCGTTATTTCTATTTCAAATTGATTTATATTGGATATTTCGAAAACGCAACGGCGTGTGTATACAAAAAAAAAAATGCAAATGCCAAACATATTTAGACAATTAAAACAACATAATTGCCTGGTTGCGGTTGCAATCTATATGCATATACTAGAAAAATCAATTCAATTATGTGATTGTGTTCATGGCTACAGGTAATAAATAGTGCAATTAAATAAAATTTATTTGCCAAGCTGGCAAAAGGCGCATTGCATCAGACAAGGCTGCCACATAACCTCAACGTCAACAAAATCAAGTTTGCTGTTCTTATTTGCTTTGCCACAGAAACAATACAGAGAGCGCCGAGCTGGTATCTCATTATGAATCAAGTCTATCGCTGCCAGATATATTGCCCATACCATCCAAAACCTATGACAAGAACCGTGCACCTAAGCTGCTGGGCCAGCCAACCGTTGTTTATTTTCATGTGACCGTACTCTCACTGGACTCGATCAACGAGGAGTCCATGGTAATAATATTTAAACACTCTGGCAAGCTCTGGATGTCAAGTATTCTCCTGCAGTGTCCTAGCGCTCGGGTTTATTGCTGCAGTTTCTATAGTTAATTGCATTTTTACAGACCTATGTGACGGACATATTTTTAGCACAAAGTTGGCGCGATCCGCGTCTGCGCTTGCCGGAGAACATGAGCGAACAGTATCGCATATTGGACGTGGATTGGCTGCACAGCATCTGGCGACCCGATTGCTTCTTTAAGAATGCCAAAAAGGTTACATTCCATGAGATGAGCATACCCAATCATTATCTCTGGCTCTATCATGACAAGACTTTGCTCTATATGTCCAAGCTGACGCTGGTGCTGTCGTGCGCTATGAAATTTGAATCCTATCCACACGATACACAAATCTGTTCCATGATGATAGAGAGCCGTAAGTTTGAGAGTCCCTCATATGGAGGCAAATCTGTAATATTGTTTATTTCCAGTATCTCATACGGTGGAGGATCTGGTATTCATTTGGAACATGACCGATCCGCTGGTGGTGAATGCCGAGATCGAGCTGCCACAATTGGACATATCCAATAACTATACGACCGATTGTACCATTGAGTACTCAACAGGTGAGTGCGTGCATCCTCACTGAAAATTCTCTAACTCTTAGTCTCTCTCGATTCTCTTAGGGAACTTCACCTGCCTGGCCATAGTCTTCAATTTGCGTCGACGCCTGGGCTATCATTTGTTTCACACCTATATACCCTCGGCGCTGATTGTGGTCATGTCATGGATATCGTTTTGGATCAAACCGGAGGCCATACCGGCGCGTGTCACCTTGGGCGTTACCTCGCTGCTCACGCTTGCCACACAGAATACACAATCCCAACAATCGCTGCCACCTGTGTCATATGTTAAGGCAATTGACGTATGGATGTCCTCCTGCTCGGTGTTTGTATTTCTATCGCTAATGGAGTTCGCTGTAGTTAATAATTATATGGGTCCGGTGGCCACCAAGGCCATGAAGGGTTACTCGGATGACAATATCACCGATCTGGATGATTTGAAGGTAAGTTCGGGCATTAGTTAGTCACATTTAAATTGGCTGAAACTGTAACTGAGTAGTGCGTCTTTGCAGCATCATCATCGGGAGTCCATAATAGAGCCACAATATGATACCTTCTGTCATGGTCATGCTACCGCCATCTTCATAGATAAATTCTCGCGCTTTTTCTTTCCCTTCTCGTTTTTTATCCTCAACATTGTTTACTGGACGACGTTTCTTTGATCCAATGTGGAGCGGCTCTTAACTAGTTATTAAATAAAATTAACAAAAAATTAAGCGCATTTGTTTAAAAATGTATAAAGTTTGTAAGCCACAAATGAATTTGCAAGTAAAATATATGATATACGTATAAATAACATATATTACCTTATTGTATTGTATAAATAAAGAAAGGCGTTTATTAATTAAATTTAATTCAAAGGAAGAAATTAAGAAATGCATTTTAATTGCGCAACAAAGGTGGAATTATCTTTGGTATTTTTACTATATAAGTATGCATGTATGTATGTAGAGTTTAGACATATAGCATATATGCATTATGTATATATATATATAAAAATGTGTATAAAAAGTTGCTATCGTGGTTACCTTCTGCAATACACTTTTCATTCATTTTTGTCAGCATTATACGTATAATCACATGATATTATAGTATCCTTCTTTATATATGCACATTTACAGAACGTTTGTTTTTTTGTTTAGTTACTTTTACTTTTTACTATTTAATTTGTTTAGCTTTTGTCGCCTACGTTAATTGTTGCTAAATATTCATGTAATTTATGCATTATGCGAGTGTTAATAAACAACTTTTGACACTAATTCAACTTATATATGTAAAAATATTTCGGTTATAAATAATACACACAGAGCTACTACAGATCCAGAGTAATGCACGCGTTGACAAATAAATACTCTCTCATATATAAAAAAAAAGGGGAAACATTAATAATAATAACGTTAATTGGATTGTCCTACAACAAAACAAAACATTCAGCAGAATATATATATATATATATATATATATATATAGAAATAGGTAGGGGAGCAGAATATGAGGAGCACGCATAGAACGGATTCCTACGCTGAAGTTGGGGGGAGGATTACTTAATAGAACGCCAGGATTTAATAACAAATGGTATTTTGTTTCTGCAATGGCTATGCCTGCTGATTGTGATGGTTTATAATTCTACTGCAAACAGGCCTGCAGCTTTTCAGTCCATTCCTGCGCCAGATTCGCATTCATCGCATAAAAGTTATAGGTGCGTTTCGAGGTTTTTAGCTGTAAGAAATGTGATTGATTAAATTATGTAGTTTCTTTTTTAGATAACAGAATCAATTTACATCAAAGAACCCCTTTTCGTCGACGCGCTTTGTGCCAATTTGTGCGGGTTGTGCGGCCGTCACCGACTGCACCTCGGCTAGCTCTGTAAAATTAAAAAAAAAAAACATTTACAGAAAATTTCGATTTAAATTCAATAATCGCGATTGTACCTATAATGCCTTTGGGCGCTGTATCATCGGATGTGTCATAGTAGCGCAGCTGATGTTTAATCGAGTCCAGAACAAACCAACGCTGTTTCCAGCCCTTTAGCAGGGCGCCACGTTTATAGAGATGTCTAAAAAAAAACATATGTATAAAGATACAATAGATAGGCTCAGTAAATGGAGCTTACCCCTCATGTGTACGATTCTCGGCAACATTGCTGCTGAACTGATTATAGAAATGATGACTGGAGGTGCGCGCGGTGGTCGCTGCACTGGATGCAATGCTGGCCGTGTCACCCTGAGACATGTTGACATTTGGCGGTCCCACGGTGCCGTCTATGGCCTTGTACTTGGTGCAGTTCTTCATGGACAATTCGGTGCACTTTTCATGATAGGAGTTGCCACAGTCCATGCACCGATAGCCAACAGGTCCCCAGAGCAGCTTAGTGCAATGATTGCAATTGGTGGGCGTCGTATATGGATGTTTCTCAAAGCGATGCGGATGAAAGTACTTGTCCTGATAGCCAGCGAGACGTCCCTTCATAATGATCTCGAGCGTGGAGCGTTTATGCTGATGCGTTTGCACCAGCATGCTGCTGAGCGATGTTTTGCGCGACATGGGCTCCACATGTGGTACTACAAGATTGTTCCACACCAGCTGCCACTTTTGTGGCAGATGGCCGCGTTCAGTTTCCGCCTGCTTCACCTCGCTGAGCAGGCACACGTAGGCATTCGGATTGCACTTCTCAATGTTGTCATAGCCGGCACTGATGACCATGCGTTTGCCCTTGATTTCGGATAGATCGATTTCATCATCCACATTGGTCACTTCCAAATCGTAAGGGGGTCCCTGTGCCAGCTCCTCGTTGGTATAGAAGCCCCAGAGATCCAGGGCAGCCACGCTATTCTGCGGACGCAGCACCACATCCTTGTTGGAGGAGTACAGGAAATTATAGAATATGGGCGATTTGTTGTGCTGCCGTTCGATATAGTCAAAGATCGAGTGTCCAATGCGATTCAGTTGTGTGGGCGTTCGTGGACTGCGTATGTCCAGCGGATAAACATTGCACTCATCATCCGAACCATTCGCAGCACTGCCGCCACCACCAAACATGTGCTTGGTGCTTAACGAGCCGCGTTTATCCTCCATGGATGCAATGCCGGAATCGTAGCGCTCCAGCTCGCAGTCAAAGAGGAACGTGCGAAAGCGACACGAGACCACATGATATGCCAGAAAACGCAAATAGAAATCATTGAATTCAAAGGCCATGGGAAACTGTCGCTGCAGCTGATAGACCACATCGAGAAACTGCAAAAAGGTGGGCGCAAAGGCAATATTCGTGCTAGCATGCGATGCCTTTAGATTGCTGCGATGGGCAAACCGATGTCCGAATGCCAGCCACTCCTTCTCTATCAGCACACGAAAGCCATCGATGCTGCGATAATACGGATCTAGGCAGAGCTGTGCAATGGCTGAAAGCTGGGCGGTCACATCAGATCCATCTTCTAGCGACAACATGACGCTGCTTTCCTGCAGATCAATTAGGTCCACCACGGCGCCGGATAGCTGCAGGAGCGTTGAGATTTGTTGCAACCAATCGGATTGCTCCACCATTTTGGCAAAACTCTGACCATCCGCATCATTGGCATTATGCGAGGGCATGCAGGCGCGTATTAGTTTCTTGAAAGCTGAACGGGATTGCCGTATGTCCGGATAGTCGACGGGTATAAAATCCGCACAGAAGTCACCATTCAAATTCGATTTGCCCTGCGATTTTTCACCTGTCCAAAAAAAAAACAAAACATATGATTTCCAATTTTTTGTGACTTTGATGCGCGAACCTACCCAAAGCATATAATCGCATCTTGCGAAACGCATGCGCCGCTGAGCTCCTTTCATTGCCCTTCATCGTGCCAGATTTGTTGCCCGCACCGCCGGATTTGCTGCCTTCCGTAACACTTAAATTTGATCTTTGCTTGCGCATCAGCTCGGGCGTTAGAGACTGATGGTCCTCGCCATGTCCGAGCAGCGAGTTCATCGAGAGATTCATGCCCGTATACTGATTGAGTGCGTCCAGCGGCGTCAGCTTGGGCATTGTATTGATCAGCGCCATGAAATACTTGTCCTGCTCCGGATAATGGGTGACATCATTGTGCGTCATGGTATTCCCGCCCGTTGTATTCTTAATCATGCCAATTACGGATTTGCTATTCGGTTGTGCTCCGCGTATGAGCAGTGATCCATTGTTGTGCCGCCAGGTGGGCAACGGTATGCGCTGGCCCTTAAAGCAGCGTCCCAGATGCGTCATCGCTGCATCGCTGCACTGTACCGGCGCCACTATAATGGCCGGATAGGTGCAGCACGTGGCATAATTGGCATTGGCGTTGCTTATACGAAAGCCGAGCTGCGCCTCCGCATCGAAGCCCAAGCGTTTCCAGTCACGCACATAGCTGCGCTCGCGCATTCGCTCAATATCCTTGGTGGTTAGCAGGCGTGGCAGCGCTTCGTTTTGCTGGGTCTCAAACTCGTCCGCCTCCTCGAGCTCGTCGTCTATAGAGTTAGTTTCCAGTGCATCCGCGCTGCCGCCGCCGCCGCTACTTCTGCCCAGCTCATACTCCGGCACCAATTTGCGTTTCGTTTGCGTCTTCTGTTTAAAGCCGGCCTTTTGGGCCGTGCGTAGCAGCGTCTTCTTTGCAAAACCCTTGAGCGTGGAGTACTTCTCCTTGGTCTTCAACGGCACAACACCTTGGAGCATGGTGCCATAGGATTGAAATGCGAAGTACTCAAATTCATCGCGTGGATGTCGCGCCTTGTTTAGCGTCTTGCGAAACGTTTCGATTTGCTCCAGCGTCACCTCCGTATCGAAGGCAATTTTGAGCAGCTGAAAGCAGCTAGAGCGCAGCTGCAGTCCATCGGGCAGCGTCTGATCCACATGTGCCAGATATAGCATTGATATCTTCTTCTCTTTGAGCAGCGAGGCAATCGGAAAGGCGCGCACAATTGTCTGCTCGCAAAAGAGCGGATCACAGGGCGAACCCTTGAAAACAATGCGATAGTTGGTCAAAAATAAAGCTCCCTCGGCGGGTATCAAGCACTGGGTGTCATCTTCGCGTCCGTCCGGCATGAGAAAACACCGCAAGTGATCGGTGGCCATTTCTTCGCCCGGCAGTAGGCAAGGCGTTTGGATCTTGGGCTTCTGCACATGTGGATGCCGCTTGGCCTCGAGATAAACTGGCTCCAGGGATTCAATGTGCATGTGTACCACGCCCGGCACCATGTCGTGCAGATTACGAATATGTTCTGAGGTGACGCCACCCTCCGTGCAGACGCAATCAATGAAACGTGAGATGGTCTTGCCCACGGTAACTCCTATTTCGGATGCATCATTCTCCTCGAAACCCTCATCGGAATGTTCGCTCAGGCTGTGCGATCCCATAATACTGAAAGTAAATTACATAGATTAGTTAGTCAGTCAATCAGTAAGCCAGTTTTACGTAAATTAATTGATTTAGTCATACCTATTGGAAACACTCTGGTTCTCCTCCAGCCGGAAGGCCAGCTTGGGCTTGCTGGCCGCATCCACATTGACGTCAAGCGGTATCAGCAAGGAGACCATGCGATTGGCAAAGTGTATGGCCTGGCTGTAGAGCGTGGACTCTTCCGATTTGGCCAGCTCAGCCTTTTTCTCCTCCTCGATGGTGGGACTTTTCCGTAGCTGCTCTGCGGTTATTTCCAGCGCCGTTGGCTCCTCCAGCGGCACCTCGTCCAGCACACAATTGGCCTCTTTGTTGTGTTCGTTTTGGCGGCGCTGAAGCAAATAGAGTGCCTTGATTTGTGCCTGCACATCCTGAAAGAAACTGGATTCCCAAAACTGCAAATTTTTCCATATGCCATGATCTTGTATCTCCGTATAGGCAAACTGTACAACGCCCATCGAGAGTTTACGACAAAATATAGTAGACATGGGCAGCAAAGCGGCCGCTACGGTATACTCATCCACGCCCGAAGAATTCTGCAGCGCTTTGTTCATGAAGCGCACCACCAGATCAAATTGCTGATGATCTAGGACCGCCTTATTGCCATGCACATAGCCAAAAAGCTCGCGGCACAGGATGAGCCGTGCATCCCGATGCTTAAGCGTGCGCATGACCGCGGGCAACAGTTTTCGCGCATCCGCAATGCGATTTTCAAAGATGTAGGCGACACAGGTGCGCAGAACCTCCAAACGACGCACTGAATTGTGCACCGTTGTTGGACGCACGTCCAGCGCTTCGGGCAACCTGGGACCCATGGGTATAATTCTGTGCTGATTGCGTGTTACATGAAAACGCTGCGACTGGCCATTCTTGCGTATGCCCTCCTGTATGATCAGCTCTACCTTGTCAACGCTTATGCGTGGAAACGCTGGCTGATGGATGCGTTGAAACGCGCCCTGCGGTGGCCGGAGCACCTTCTGGGCATAGGTGGCGGGCGCAATGGATGCTTCGTTCTCGTACAACGTGCGTCCCAGCTCCTGGATATGTGTGAGTATCTGCAGCAGAGGAAAAGCAAGCATTAGTTTAACATTAAGTGGACAGTTTAGCTTACATACGAGATTCCGATTTTGTGCTTCCGTTTTGAGCAGCTCGTTCATGGAGCTATACAATTCATCCCAGGCATCAGCGGCACGCCAGGGTGGTCCACGTTCATTAACAAATGTCGTAAAAAACATGCTGTCGAGGACGCGAAACAGAAACTCGCTTTCGATTAGATCGCGAGCGCCTAAAAAGCCAGCCTTATGAAATGTGATCACCGTTTTGGGGTGAATGCGTATTATGGTCAGGCAGGATCGATAGCCTTGGAGCAGCTGTGCAAACAGGCGCATAAATATCGCGCGTAGCTCCTTATCAATTTGTGCCTCCGTCTTGGCTAGCGTTGAGGTGGGCCGCTCATTATTGGGAAATGCGAGATCGGCTTGCGCCAAATTGGGAAAAAGTATCATGCTGAGTAGATCCTGTGTTTGCTCCCACAATGGCGATGGAAATATAGGCACCGGTGGCGTCAATGCATCTGGTATGGTCACCAGACCACCATCCAAATCCACCACAATGACATCCAGCAAATCCGTGATCTCTGTTTGTAACGAACTGTGTATGCCCATTATAAAAGGCGTCGGCGTCGACAGCACCTCCGTGAGCGGCGCTGGAAGTATGGGTATATACACGTGCGTATAACGAAATGGATACATGAGCGCAACCAATGCCCTGCAGCTGTCGGTCAGATGCCAATAGCACTTGGAGTGAAAGAGTATTTTGTTTTCGGTCATCACGGCGCACAGCAATATAAGCACGTTTTTAATGCCCAGCTGTTTGAACAGAAAATAGACACCGCTGCCCGTCGTCGGCAGGGAAGAGCTCTGCGGCGGCTGTAAAGATTGCTTGTCACCCGCTCCAATGGAGAAACGCACTTGGGGACCGCCCGCGGGCGGCACCTGTATGCAGCCAAGTATGTTGCCAATCAGATTCTCCATGGCATATGGCAAGCTTTCAATATATACAGTGTAGATGGTGCCCAGGCAGTTCTGTAAAATAAAAGTTGTATTCACTATTTAGCTTGTTTATAATTAAATCTAACAATTTGTAGTCTTATTACTGTTATATAACATTTCTGTGGTATGTTTGTAATATTATTATTATTATAAATACAGTTTTCTATTTTTTGCCTTTACCTTAAAAGTCTCCGCACAATCCAACCGGGATATGAGCACCAAACACTTGGGTGCATACATAATGCTGTGATGCGTTATGGCCTCCACGGGTGGCGCGGCCAGCAACCCGCGGCTGCAGTTGCCGTTGCTGTTGTTGCCAATGGTCTCATCCTCATCGTCCACGCTGCGTGTCTGGGTGATGGCCAGCGTTTCGTGGAAGCTCAGGCACGCACAATAATGCTTATTTGCATCGATATCGGTGAGCACGGAGATGAAGAATTTCGGCTCTTGTTTCTCGTACGATAAATTCCAGCCCAGCGGCTGGCAGAACTAAAATTATGATTATGATGTGTTAATTACGTCTAAATTAAGAAACAAAGCCAACACTTACCCATTCGATGCCCTCGATAAAGGGCGTGTCGGGCCAATCTTTCTCAGGAAAACGTTGCACAATTTTGCCGCATATTGGCTGGCCGCTGACATTGCCGGCAGTCTCTGCAGACAAATAAAACAAATGTGGATTATATACATATGTATTTATGTATGTACATATGTCGCACTCACTTTCTTTGTCGTTATCGTAGCCAACAATTACAAAGTAATCAGCGAGCCGGGACATCTCGTACGGATACGCTGCAGCTGCACATTGCAGTCTAACTTAAAACTGGGAGGGGATCTGGGAGATTTTTGCTGTTTTTTATTGTTGTTCTTGTGGTTTTGTGTGTGTGTGTGTATGTTGGGGGCTGCTGCTTCAGATTTTTACGTTTGCCAAATCTACAAAGTAAAAGCACAAAACGAATAAAACAAATGTGTTGTTGTTGGTGTATTTTTTTTTTTTTTGTTTTCAAATACACACAACCGCTTTGGCCGATTGCCACAAACTCATTTGCATACAAGAAAAAAAAATTGAAGCTTCCAAATAATATAGCGCGGCGTTTTGTGTGTGGCATAAGTAATTAGTTGGCATTCTTTTTGCCTTTTTAATAAGCAAACACATTTTTAACGTATACAAATTTTAAGCCACAAACCACACCCCACCCCTATGTGTTACTCCAGTTGGTTATTTGTATGTGTGTTCACTACATATACACTTCTGTTGAAGTTCACATATATGCATATATGTACCGTTTAACTGCTGGCAATTTTTACGCGTCTGGTATCTGGCACTTTTATTATAAACAAATTACTTTAACTTTTAGATTTTTCATGCCTGCGGAATGTAGGGTTGTTGATATGCTATCGATATTTTTAGACTTGTTTCGATGTATTTTAACAGTGCTATGCAACGGTTAGAGTACGGTCAAAAGCATTATGCAGCACTAGCAATTGTGGCGCATTCAAGTAAATTTTTCAATTCTTGTAAATTATAATTGCACATTTATTTAAACAGCTCCAAATATTTATATATAAGGTAGAATCTTTAATAAACATCATATGCTTTTACTAGTACTTTTAAATGTTGTGCCATTTGCTTATCGATGTAGCGCATTACAAAAGTCCAAGTATCGATACATCGATACTCACAGTAGTCAGTGTGTGTGTGATTTTTTCCCTACGACGTTCATATTTTTGTGCTATTTATGCGATTTTGGTAAAGTTTTTGGACTTTTAAATTCACTTTTATATAATTAGAACGGTGTGTAAGCAATTAACGCATGTGCTTTCTACAAAAGTACATAAAGCAAATGACTGCGTCTTTTGCAAATTAGCAGTTCCCTAACATTGGCATTAAGGTGTCTTGTCGGGCTTCGGGCAGCAGGTAAGCTACACACGCTCTCCCTCTGTTCGTCTTGCAGGCTCTCCATATTCGCGGTCTCTCTCTCTGTCTCACTTACCCACTCTCATTGACCACCAAAATATTTTGCTCATTCCGTCTTATTCTGCTCACAGCTGTTTTTGGGACAGTTCTCAATTTCTTATCAAAGCTGCAATGCAAATAAAACTTTTATTGCATTTACGCGTTTTTCGAGCGAATAAGAAATCTGTAATTCCCAATGCATAGCCAAACTCAGGTAAAAATCAGGTGACACTAGGACCCATTGACTGATGTGTGAAGTTTTCAATCCAAATTCATTCATGATTGCTCTAACATGAATAATGTAAAACTACAGTGAACAGTCGATATAATTTATTGACAGCTATCATATACCTATGAGCATAAAATATTGTAAGTTATTAAAAAATAAGAAAAACAACAATCACAAAACATGCTGTACTTTCTATTATAATTTTTTAAGGAAAACTTAATTACAACATAAAAGGTATACAGTCCATTTATTAATCAGTCAGCAATTCAGTAGATCCGTCAGGACAAACTGTTACCATGTGTGTTTATTGGTAAAATTAATTACATTATCAAGCAGCCGGAGAATCATCCGGCAGCTAGTCAACCAATCAGTCAATCAGTTGGCCCGATAGGACAAATAGTTAGGTACTATATATGTCAATAGATAGGTAATTGTCGCAGTAGGCGTCTTAAATATGCATATGTAATGCAAAATTTTTTGTTTTGTTTTTCTCATAATACTCATATTTATGTCATCGCGCAGACACATTAATAATTTTTCTCATTTATGTTTCTCTTTAAAAGTAAAAACAAAAAAAAAAGCGTAAGCATGGAAAATGAACAGGATGAACTCAGACACAGACATATGCAGGACCAGCACCGTAATCAGCATCATGGCGTACCAATTGGCTATTCGGACGTTATGCTACAGCTTGGAGGCCAGGAGGGGCGTAAGTGCAGCAGCTTATTATATGTTTTAGTATTAATCATATGTTTGGCATTCTAGAACGCTCACCATATGCCGTTTACTTTGAGCAGCCACGCGATGCGCTGCCGGATAGCTATGTTGTAATGCCCACCTATCCACAGACATCCATAGACATGCGAACAGCACAGCAAACACCTGCAACTGCAACAGTCTCTGGTGGTGGTGGTGGTGCTGCTGCTGCTGCTGGTGGTGGTGGTGATGCTGGCGGTGATGGATATTCGGCCATGTTTCAGTATCAGCCGGCGTCCAGAAATCTTAATCGTGAATCCTATGCGGAGTCGGCAAGCTCAACGGGCAACAAATGCTGGAAATGCAATGTTGTACGCGATATCTGCCATTGTAATCGGCTGGCGGAGAGCACTGCCGGCTATCCGACGCCCATGGAGCATGTGCATTCCACACAAACAAATGGCTCTGGCGCTGGCGCCGGCGAGCCAACGCAATTCTTTGAGCTCAGCTCAACGTCAACGGCCGCCACAACCACGTTGTCTGCGGCAGCGGCGGCGGCGAGCAGTGGCAGCAATAGCCGCACGGACAGCGCCCAGTTCATTCCAAATTACACACAACGTAAGACTGAAACGGATGGCCTGTCGCCGCAGCAGCAGCAACAACATCAGGAGTTGCAGCAGCAGCATGAGAATAACAACAGCAGCAACAATAGTATGAATCCCAGCAGCAGCGAGTCGCATTTGGGCAACATCTGGCCAGCTGCCATGGATGATCATGCTGTGGATGAGCAACTACTGTTGCAGGCCAGAAACAATTCGGCTGCTGTCTACGAACTGCCCACCAGTTCGCTTTTAAGCTCCAATAACAGCAGCACGAACAGCTCCTTTGAGGCGAACAGCAGCAGCAGTAATAATAATGCGCATTTGGTTAATGGTAATGTCACGGCCTACGATGATGTCACATCCAGTGCATCGGATACGGAGCATGTGCAATTTGCAAATACGCGCACCACTAACACAACCACGACAACCACATCGGCGGTGCAAAAGAAAAAGCATCAACAGAACCGTACTCGGAATGGCAGTGCAACTGGTGCAGTTGAGGCATCCTCGGCATCCGCTACCTCATCGGTCATTGAGCTGGATGCAACGCCCAGCACCAGCGCCCAAGCACACCAGCAGCAGCAGACGCAGCATCGCAATCGCCACGTCTATCGACGGCGGATATATCCCAGCGTGCTGGAACATGCGGGCGACAACAGCAGCGATGATGGCTGGGATTTGCGAGCGGTGCGACCGCCAAGCAGCAGCAGCAGCGATCTGGAAGCACGCCATGCTGATCACACGTATTTTAATAGTCGTGGTTATATGTTTGATGCGCTGCCGCCGCCACCACCACCACCACCGCCCGATACCAGTTACATGCGTTCCACATCCTCCTGCACAACGGCTACGCACACCACCTGTAGCGTGGACTATGGTGGTCGAGATATATGCGGTGTGCATCGTTTAAACAACGATAGAAGAGGACCCACGCCCACAGTAGAACAGCAGCAGCAGGAGCAACGACCCGCAGCGGTGCTTAAAGCCTGCTATGGTTCGGGCCTGGGCAGCGGTATTGTGCGCACACGCTCCCGTGTTCGGTCCATGGATGAGTCATTACCAGCCGGCAACAACAGCAGCAGCAGTAGTAGCAGCCACAGCTTGTGTCAACCACCCAGAAAACTGGCACGCCTGGAGACTCGCAGCGATGTGCAGCTATCCTCCACCATGTCCAGTTTGTCGCCAACTAACTTTTATGCATTTCAACCAGGTCGTCATCGGCATCGCACCTATGCAGAGCTGGCCAGGAGCAACGAACGGCAGGTAAGACTGGTAATCAAAAAATTTGTTATGTATTATTTATCAAAGGGAATATATCTCCTGCGTCCTAACTTGTTCCCAGCATATCAAAATATTGCATTACTATACCATATTGGTTTCCATAAGATTATCATACTAGAATAAGTGTATTAAGGCAGGGCAGATGCCATTTAAATTTAAAAAAATATATTTTCTGTCTGGTTGGGCATATCGGAAAAAATAGGACAATATCGTAGTAGATAAAAGAACCCAAATTAAAAAGAAATTTCGTTACTTTATATAAAAAAGAAATTTAACATATCCTGGATTTGAACTAGTGACCTTTCGCCAAAGCCAGTTCGTGACTGTTGCTTGTGATATTTTACATACAAACATTGAACATTTTCTCCCAATTTATTATTTTATTTAATTATACCCTGAACCTATTAAAAATGGGTAAAAAGGGTATATTGTATTTGTGCAAAATGCAAATGTATGTAACAGGCAGAAGGAAGCATTTCCGACCATATAAAGTATATATATTCTTGATCAGCATCAATAGCCGAGTCGATCTAACCATGTCCGTCTGTCCGTCTGTCATTGTGTCCGTATGTATGAACGCAAGGAACTCAGAACCTATACGAAATTTTAGATATAGGTCCTTCTAGTGCCTGCGCAGATCGAGTTTGTTTCCGATAATCGATAGCTTCCTCCGTTTCCAAGCAATCGATAAAAATCTATATCGATATCCTGTTTTTTGGGCAATTTTGGTAAATAATAAGAGCCAGCGTCACCAAACTTGACATATAGCTTCTAAAATAGAATATATATATGCATTTGATGTTGGAAGAAGAGGGTTCAGGAACGGCTGAACTGCTGAGTTGCATACATCGTTAATGACCGACTGAACGAGTATCAAGAATGTATCATTCATGACCGACTGAACGAGTACAGAATACATCGTTCACGACCGACTGAATAGCTGAACGAGTGAACTAAATTACCGATTTAGTTCACTAATCACTGAATAAGTTCAGTAATTCATTTTAATGACCCGTTCAATCGAACTTGGTCTGAACTAAACGACACAACTCTAATGTAAACATACACATTTATGCGCGTCTGCTTCGCATTCAATCGCATTCTAACAGCATGGTAATTGCGACTTTTTTCTGTAATGCTATTTTAGTTTGTTTTTTTCTCATAAGTACTTAATTATTGGTGTGGCTGCTGAATAAAGCATAGCAAGTGGTGCGGTCTGTCGCGAGTTCGAACCCTACTGGGGAAGGTATTTTTTTATACCCTGAACCCATTAAAAATGGGTATAAGGGTATATTGTATTTGTGCGAAATCCAAATGTATGTAACAGGCAGAAGTATATATATTCTTGATCAGCATCAATAGCCGATTCGATCTAGCCATGTCCGTCTGTCTGTCCGTCCGTCCGTCCGTCAGTATGTATGAACGCAAGGATCTCAGAACTTATAAGACTTGAAATTTTAGATGTAGGTGCTACTAGTTCCCGCGCAGATCGAGTTTGTTCCAGATAATCGATAACTTACGCCGTTTCCAAGCAATCGATAAAAATCGATATCGATATCCTGTTTTTTTTTTTTTTTTTTTTTTTTGGCAATTTTGGTAAATAATAAGAGCTAGCGTCACCAAACTTGACATATAGCTTCTAAAATAGAATATATATATGCATTTGATGTTGGAAGAAGAGGGTTCAGGGTATCCCCTAGTCGGGAGCTCCCGACTAGAACCTCTTACTTGTTATTTTTGCTGGTGTAGCTGTTGAGTAGAGTCGACAGCAAGTAATACCGTCAGTTGCGAGTTCGAACCCTGCCAAGGGAACTTGATTTTAAATTTATTTGTTGTTTGAGTATTATGGGTCAGGGAATTCTCTAGTCGGGAGCTCCCGACTAGAACCTCTTACTTGTTTTCACTTTCGACTCTGGGATTGGGACCCAGCTCGGACAACCTCTTTTTTCAGAATTTCCCCAATTTATTTAAGCTTTTCTGTCAGATTTCAATTTTAAAAACTTTTCAATACCGAATTTTGTAAGACCTATAAAATAGGCCTATGGAAATCATATAACTTTGAATATATTATATTATATTCATACATTTTCATGTTTGTTGTTTTGTTTTTTGTTTTGGAAACATTGAGCTACCCGAATTAAGTTGTTTGCAAGCTTAATTAATTTTTGGAACCGCTGCGTTCCCTTTTTGTAGTAACAACACTACGCATATGTCTGTAAGGGTATTTAAACTTTGGCAAACCGAACACGAAAGTTCCTGCTTGTACTCACACTGATGTTTCTTTATCGCAGGAGGCTCAACAGTCAACGATACAGACGCCGCAGCAACAGCAACAGAGGACACAGCAGACAAGCGCCGGCTCCTGTGTGATAACCTATGTGGGCAGACCGCGCGAGCCAGATGGCAGCAGGACGGCCAGATCAGGCCCAATGGAGCTGTCCAATGTGCTGCCATCCACATCGACTGGTAGGCGACATCACAATACACACACGAATTCCAATGGAGATAATGCGGTGCTAACAGCGCCCGATCTGCAGCTGTTGGACTGGTCCTCCGATTCGAATGATGAGGACGATGATGTGGTATTTGTGCACTCCACACGCGAGCCAATACTCTCCATAGACCTGACCTCCGATGATGATGGCTTCGGTGGCAGTAACGAGGCGGCGCTGCAGCAGCAGCTGCAACGAATGCAAGAAATACGACAGCGCCGTCGACAGCAGATGCAACAACATCAGCAGCAGCGAGAGCAGCAGCAACAGCAGCGACAGCTGCGCGAGGAGTCTCTGGCCACGTGCAGTCGCACAGCTGGCGGCGTTGAGGGATTGAATGCTGCGCCCGCAACTGCTGCGCCCACAGCCACTGTTACGGCATCGCTGCTGCCACGCCCCAATTCGGCGAGCGATTACGAGGAAAGACGACGTCAGCGTCCTGCGGGCACCTCATTTGCCTTCTACAGTGGCGCCTTAACGGATCGTGTGGCCATCACGGACCACAACTATAGCAGCTATGATCATGCGTCGTCGACCATGGGGCCGATTATAAATCTCAGAAGTCTACTGCCCACACGATGTCCCGGCTTGGAGGCCGAGGCAGCTGCAGCGCATTCCCAGCGCTATTTTCAGCCGATTACGCCGCCGCCCATGTGGCATTTTGGACCGTTGCCGGAGGGACAACCGCCGCCGCAGCCGCCGCCGCCAGCGCCAAGTGGTAATGCGGGCTCCTATGTGCAGCATACCTCAGCGGGTCCGGTTATTGCAACGCCAGTGGTGCCGCCAACAGAAGGAGCTGTGCCCAGCGGTCGCAGCAGTCCCGCCGCCTATTATCATCGATATCAGCCCTATTATGTGCCGCACTATACGATCACAGCGCTGCCGGCGAGTCGCAACAATGGTGATTACTCACCCGGACCACCAAATCCTCATTATCAGGGCGGTTTGGGCAACGCCACGGGCAGCAGTCGCAGCTCACTAAGTGGTGCCATGAGCGCTGCAGCTGTGGCCGCCACGGTAGCTGCCGCTCAGGCGCAATCATTTCACGATCTGCTTTCGCTGGCTAATGTGCCCAGCTCGCCGGTGACCAGCATGGAGAGCAGCAGTCTCGAGGATGACTATCATCATCGCAACCAAACAATAAACATGCTCAATCGGTCCACAACACCCGTGGCAGCGGCTGCTGCTGTGGCCACGGCCGCTGGTCCGCCGCCAGTTATGTCCTCCATAGTAACCGTAGCGGCTGCTGTGTCGCCGCCACCGCCGCTGGAGATGTATTCGGGTCGCACAACCATGCAGTATTGCGGTTCGCCGCCATTTAGTCTACGCCGCTCGGATGCACAATATCATAATCATCGGCAGCACTATCAGCCGCAACCGCATCAGGGCCATCAGGCGCCACAGAATCAAATGCATGCGCACATTCATCCACCGCATCGGGCGAGCGCGATTGTGGCGACATCATTGACACCGGCGCCACCGTATCCAGTGCATCAGAATCTGTGGTATCGACAGCAGAGCATGCAGGAGCTGCATCGTCGTCATATGACGCCCACGCCTATTGATCTCTCATCGAATCCATTGAATCTGACGAGCAGCCTGCGCACACGATATTTGCACAGTATTTGCAATTGTGTGCATGCACGCAATGGGCCTGTCTCCAGTCTAGATCCTGCCTATTATCCGGCCTATGATGCAGCTGTGCAGCAGCAGCAAACATCCACAGCCGCGGGACCCATTGATGCGCATCAGCCACCGCCACAATTGGGTCTACAATATCAGCAGCAGCAGCAGCAACAGCAGCAACAACAGCAACAGCAGCAACAACAGCAACAACAGCAGCAGCATCAGCAACAGATGCAGCAACAACAACAGCAGCATCAACAACAACAACAGCAGCAGCTGCAACATCAACAGCAGCGACGTCGCGCCGCTGTTCATCATCACATGTTCCATCATTACTCGCCGCTACACCTCGAGATTGGGCTAGCCACGCCGCTTTCGCTGGGCTCGTCGCGCATACTCATTGGACCGCCGCGTCCCAATCGTGGCGCCACCTTGGTAAGTAATGGCATTTCATGACCTAATGTATTTAAATCTAAATATATTCGCAATCGCAGGAGATTATTGAGCGCAATACGTTGCCGCATAAATATCGGCGAGTTCGTCGACCCAGCGAAACGGACGAGGATGCAGAAAAGTGCGCCATATGCTTGTCGCTATTTGAGATTGAGAACGATGTGCGGTTAGTAGCAACAAGTCGCTTATCCCTATGCAACTTACTACATATATATACATATCATCTGCCTTTCAGTCGTTTGCCCTGTATGCATCTATTTCACACTGACTGCGTGGATCAATGGCTGGTCACTAATAAACACTGTCCCATTTGTCGTGTTGATATCGAAACGCATATGGCCAAGGATGCGCTGGTGCCCAGCTCCAGCGGGGTTGCAGCAGCTGCCGCGGCTGCCGCTGCTGCTGGCACCGCCGCTTTATGACATTGTGTACATGGCATTTTCATGTAAAGCGACAACAAACGAAACCACACGAACAACTAACGGCTCTCAATCTACTGCAAAACACTAAAAAGGAGACACAACTTTTCAGACTGAGTTCGTCATGTTAAACATTCATGTCGGGGCCAAGCAGGCAGAGCAGCAGCAACAACAACAATAACAACCACCATAATAACAAAAATGATATGTTTACAAAAAAAAAAAAAATATTATTGCATATCCGGGCTGCACACTGCTGTGTTGCAACCTGAAGCAACAATTTTTTTTTGGTGCTGTTGCAGCTGATGCCGGCTGCCCCATTTGGACGCACTATGGGGCAATGCATCTATTAACGCTAAATTTCCTGAGTTCGTCATGCAGGGGCCAGGCCGGCAGCGACAATGAAAATTCTCTTCAAATTCTTTTCAAACAAAACATACACAAAAAAAAGCAAAAATTACCAAAAAAAAAAAAAAACAAAAAAAAAAACACAAAACGGAAACTTAAACAAAACAAATCGTCAAACGTCAGCCATTGGAACTGTGAACCCACCAAAACAGGCGAAAGCAGGTGTAAAAAATTTGCTGCGTTGCATTAAATTATAAACAAAAACAAAACTACAAAAAAAAAAAAAAAAAAATCAAATCAACCGAAAGCAAAAAACTTTGGCTCAAACTCTACGTACATACATATATTATTATTATATATAAAAATTAATTGATAGGTGGTTTCTTTTTTTTTTTTTTGGCATAATCAGCGAGTCATATTTCCTATATTATAAAATTATGTCCATGTTTTGTGAAACGAAATTCTTGTGATTTACACCCACACATATATATATATATGTACTACGTATTGTTAAAGTGTGAATGTCGCCTCCCCATGGTTAATAATTATTCAAAATGTACCAAACTGTAATTGTTATTGTATGACCCCCCTACCGTGACCCCCTCTTTCCCATATTTTACAATTTGTCACGAAATTATAAAGTGTGTGGTACCATCAAAAACGACAAAACAAAAACATTCAATTCAAATGCATTTTAATCCTATCTATTGAATTCTATTTGTTGCCATATTTGTAATTTGTAATTAATTTTCTGGTTAATCTAAACTGATCTGAAGCGTTGCGTGGCGCTAACAGCCACAAAAAAAAACTAATTTTAATTTACGATTAAGTTTTTTTCTGGGTAAACCCAAAAACAAAATCCAATTCAAAGTTGGTCACAGGATACTAAACATTATATTGTATTGATAAACATGAATTGCAAATCAAATACATACGTATATTCAATATTACATTTTAAACATATATTTCATTTCTTGATATGATATCGAACGCATTTTCCTCAGATATGGCACCGAATAAAAATTAGCACCAAAAATGAGATTTCACGAAGTAGGGTTCGTCTCTAGGAACGCTTCCAGCTCAACAGGATAACTACTGGGGCATAAACGATACGCCTATCTAGACATACAAGCTAGAGACTTGGATGGCGCTGCTTAGTTTAGTAGTCCCCATTTATAATTATATATTAATGCCATGTATTTAGGTACATGCTAACTTTTATTAAGCTTTTACAGCACAAGGACTTAAAAACTACAGCTAAAAATTGTTAAATGTTTAACAATGATATATATATAATGCCAAGCTACAGATTTTTTTATGACTGAGATAGAGACATCCTATGTCTAGGTTACATTACTGGGTCCAGCAGCTGTATCGTTTCCACCATCATTGTCGTCATCGTCATGATCCTTGGTCATATCGGCAAAGAAGTCCGAGGCGTTTGTGCACTTGGATGAGGGCAAATTGTGACGTTTCTCCTTGTAGGCATTGTGCTTCTCATTGTACTTGATGTCGCCAAAGTCCTCGAAATATTTTACATTCCAAAAGCGCACATCGTTGTTGTGTGACGAGGATGCCAACAGTTCACCGCTGCAATTGATGTCCAGCGATTCGATGGGCATATTATGCTGGCCCACAACGCCCAGATTGCGGTAGGGCGCAATGTGACAGGCACGAATGTTACCATCCTCGCCAGCCACGCAGGCAATCCTATCCGTAATGGGTATCATCAGACTTATGGGGCTCTTGATGCCCGGATACATATCGCAATGATAGCCAAAATAGCCCCAATTGTATGTATAAAGGCGTCCTTTAGAGGTGCCCGCCACCAGCTTGGAGCTGCCACGATAAATGCCCATGCAGTTGAGCTCCTCCTCGTACGGCTCCGATTGCACATATAATTTACGAGCACCGATATTATAGGTGGTTAAATAGCCATCGGCACTGGTCGCCAACAGCAGCTTATTCTGTTCGTTGGTTAGCATTTGGGTGATCTGATCCTCCACCTCCTTCAGCTCGAATATGGCATCTTTGGTGCGAAAATCCCAAAGCTTAACGGTGCCGGCGTCATCCCCAGTGGCAAATAGACGCTCGTCGAGCACATGCAGCTTATTGATGGCATCATCGTGTGCCGTCTCGTATAGCTTCTTGAGCTTCTCCGTTTCCATGTCGGTGACCATGACGCACTTGTCCTTGGAACATGTAATCAAACTGCGTCCATCCTCCGTGAACTCGACATCGCGACAGGCCTTGGCGTGCACCTCAATGGTGCGCAACAGTTTATTCTCCTCGTTACCATACTCGTACAGATGCACATCACCAATTATGGTCGCCAGAGCGATTATATCGCGCTCTGGATGGAAGCAAATGTCTGTGATGAAATCCTCTAATTTGATTTCTGGCGGTGCACTGCGTGGCTTCTTTATAGCTGCTATAATAGCACGCACTGTCTCATCCGTTTCATCATCGTCATCCAAATGTGAATAATCAGCACCTCCACTGGCGCCCGAACCACTTGCTCCCACTCCATCTGCTGCCGTTTGCTCCTTGCGCCTCTTGGCACTGCTCGCTCCACCAGCTGCAGCCTCATCTATCATTGAATCATCGGAGTCTGTGTCTTCCGCATTAGGATCGAAACTGCCATCGCTGCTGATGCTCTCATTCGAGCTGCTGTGGCCATCAGCTTGTTGCGGCTCTGGTGCGCCCATGTCCACCAAATCGTATTCATCGTCATCGCTCTCGGATTCGTTAAGCACCTCCTGTTCAATTTCAGCTATTACACCAACTACCATATCGTCATCAATGTCATCGAGCTCGTCTTCATTCGCTGGCGCCTTGAAATGCTCATGCCTGTCCATAAATTCGATAAATATATGTTGACTTATTTGATAAAGCAGTAAAACTTACGTATGCATAGTAGGAATGACCTAAAATCAGATTTTTTCTCGTTTTATTGGACAGAACACGCTTTTTTCGCCAGAACCAAAAACCAAGAGTAGCAAGAGGAAGCATGACACACAACAAAACACATGCCAGGCGCACAGCTGATGGCATGGCAACAACAACAGCACCAACTACTCGAGAACAATTTGAGTCGAAACACCCTGTAGCCAAAAATTCAACGTGATGACTTGTAGCGCGGCTATAATATTAATAGTAACACAACAATGTTTAAGTATTGTTTTTGGTTAATATATTAATGTAGTATTATGTATTGTATTAACATATTAGGTAGTGTTTAAATTATATGTACATGATTCCGCTGCGCTCTCCTTGCTACATTTTTTTGCAACCAGAGTATTTAAGTAGAAAAAAAAATAGAACGAATGCAGTGCTGCCAGACAGTCAAAAAAAGTTGATTTCAGTTGCCGTCAAGCTCTAGCAATGGTGTTATGAAAAAGCGGACATACATCTCCTCCTGGTCATCGGATTGCATCATGAAATGCATCTCTAGCAAACCACTGGCATCCGTTTTAATGGCCACCTTTGAGGCCACCTGCATTGCTTTGTTGGTCAGCTTGATTTGTTGGCTTTTGTAACGAGCCACCGTTGTCTCACGGCAATTAAACAATATTATCATATCACTGGACTTGGCCACTTCCACGCTGGACTCTGCCTGCATTACGCCCAACGTGGTGATCTTAAAGTGTGGTTTTAACGGCGAAATAGTAATCTCATACTCATCAGCCGCCTTGTCAAGCTCGTGAAAGATATTTGACAGATCTGGACCACGCATAAATATAGTATTTAAGCTTGAACTGTTTAAATCCAGCTCATACTCCATGGGCTCCTCCACGTTCGTAGTCCTAATGGAGCATTCTGTGCTGACCTGATCGTCATCGTGCGGTTCCAGCAGCAGCAGCAGGGGTGCGCCTTCGCCCTTATACAAAATTTTGATGCTACAATCGGACAGGCCAAACAGACTCAGGCACTCGGCCAGTACATTGATCTTCACACTGAAGCTTGGCGCGCCGTCGACCTTGAACTCGGCAAAGAAAGCGGGCGCTATAAATAATGTGGCCTGTATGGATTTGCCCTGCTCCACCGTGATGAGTAGTCCATCTTCACTAGCTTGCAGCGTGCCAAACTGTAAAAATGAGTATTGATTAATGACAGTTGAATTGTTTAAATTATTAAATAGATTGTTTACATCACTGAAACAGATTGCTTTAATGGATGAGTAGAAGGTCTTTATGTGCTCCAAACGGCACACCAGCTTGTAATTCTCATACTGTGATTGCGTTAACATTCTGCGATTTTTAATGATACCCTTCTCGTACAGCAGCTTCGAGTGCTGCATTAATCCTCATAGAAATCGTTGTGGAAGTATCTAAACTGATCCAGCGTCAAGATCTGTGCCCGTGGCTCTAGATTTACAAGCCAATGCAAGCGCTGTGCCAGCACGTGCTCACAGGTGAACGAAACTTGATTGCTCTTGTTGATGTCTATTTCCTGCTGCTCCTCCTCCTCCTCCTCCTCACCCTCCTCCTTGTCTGTTAACTGCAACACACAACGCTGGAAATAGCGGCACTTGCAATAATTTACACCTGGTACGACACGCACAACATGCGCTAAGTTTCGCTTGCTGCTCAATTCCGCTATGCTCCGTAAGCGATCTGCTGTGTAGTAGATAATAAAGCTCCACTCATCAAGCAGACGCAGTGCCCGCTCTAGAAGATCCTCGCCCAACAAGGCGCTCAACTCTATAAACAACTCTGTGCGTTCAGCTGGAATAAAAGTATTCGTTATTATTATCTGATTTAATATGTCGACGCAAGTACTACCTGTAGTTAAGATTGTACCATTAGTACGTTTGTATTTATGAAAAACCTGCTGCACTAAGCCGGGTAAAAACAAATCACCCGTTGCTAATAATTTATCATTATCAAGCGCCATTTACAAATCTAAAAAATTGCACGTTCGTCAAATTAGCGGCAGGAACTTAGCGTCGATTTTTTGGTACTTGGTATCGAAAAGGAATCGTTCACTTTCAAATGCATTTATTTACTGAATTGTAAAAAACGAAATTATTTAATTTGTTTTTCAAGTTTAGCTTATAAGATGGGTAAACAAAGGGGTTGAACAATTAGGTTTTCATCCTTCTTTAAATATTTTGTTTCAGTGATAACGTTTCGAAAACCTCATAAACGCGATTAAAGCCTCACCTAACCAATCTTCAAAAAAATTATAAAAATCGATCAGCACGTTTTTAAGATATTTGTACAACAGTGCAGCGACCTCGTTGCGAGCCCCATACAAAATGACCGTACACAATTAGCCTTGCACTTGAACCTTAATACCCTTTCTCAGGAATAATGGCCCTCAATGTACGCTATACCAATTTGAAGATATGTACATATTTCAGAAAGCCTAACGTAATAACCGTAAACCAATTGATTGGACAGTTTTTTAAATAATAATTTAATGTAAAGTGACATCATGTTAATTTTGAAGTTCTATCGAACAGTGCTGAACAATTTGATACAGTACTGAGCGGGATCAAATTAATTCAAGTTATTTGTATATATGAACGAAGTGAAGACTTTAAAAGACTTTACAATGAAAAATGATCTTTGGTAAAATATAAAGCTGTTAAATAAGGCAACAGCGCATTAAAGAATTTATACACAGCATTATAACAAAAAGGTGGCAATATTACAATATATTTCAATCTATTTTTATATTTTTCTCCGATATTGGTTCTAAATGCCTGGTTTTATTTGGCTTTGTGCTTAATTATATAAATAAATGCATTTAAAAGTGAGCGATTCCTCTTCCGATACCAATGATCGACGTTAGGTCGCCGCCGCTAATTTGACGCACATCGCACAGCGGCTGTGAAAGTATCGATTTATAATGTCAGCTGTTTTGTTGTGGCAGTGACTCTGTTATTATCTATCAATAACTGTTAGTTAGAACCAGTTCATTAAGGAAGTATTTTTCGCTCGTTCACTCATCGGCTAAGCCAACACTGGCTCACTGTCAAAATCGTTTGCGTGTACTCGATTTCGCCGCATACGGCATTTCCATCATTTTTACATATTAATTATTAGTTTAAGTACTTTATTGTTACCATTAGAAGAAAGACAGGATGATGCACTCACTGGTCTTCGTTGTTTTAGCGCTAATCAGCTGTCTGCCTAATAACAATGGTGCGTATTTTGCAGCAGCGGCATCGCCGTTTATGTGGTGTGCTGTGATTGGCCGGCCACGCAGCTCTTGCCGCCCTACAAATATCAATTATACGATTCCTATCAATAATAACAAATACTCCCCCAGCTGTTCAGAATAACTATGTGACATGTGGGTCCATACTGAAATTGCTCAATTCGGACTATGCGTATCGACTGCACTCCCATGATGTGAAGTATGGATCTGGATCTGGCCAACAGTCGGTGACGGGTGTTGAACAGAAGGAGGATGTCAACAGCCACTGGGTGGTCAAGGCGCAAACCAAGAAGCTTTGCGAGCGCGGTGAGCCCATTGCATGTGGTGCCACCATAACCTTGGAACATTTGACCACCAAAAAAAACCTGCACTCGCATCACTTCTCATCGCCGCTCTCGGGCGAGCAAGAGGTGTCCGCATATGGCGTCGATGGAATCGGCGACACCGGTGACAATTGGGAGGTCGTTTGCGCCAACGATAGCTGGATGCGAGATGCACACGTAAGACTGCGCCACGTGGACACTGGCATGTATCTGGGCATGTCGGGACGGTCTTATGGTCGACCCATTTCTGGCCAAATGGAAATCGTGGGTCTGCACAGTCCACAACATGGAACACGTTGGACTACCTCTGAAGGACTCTATATCGTACCAAAGGACAAGGAGTCGACGCACGAGGAGTACGCTCACACGGAACTGTAGTTACAGACCAGGATAAGATTTTTACGATTAGTTGATTACCTCTAATTTAGCTGAATTTTTGTAAAGCGAACCAGTTTGCTTGCATTAAAAAAAGAACAAGTAAATTTGCGTTGTTCAACACTGGCCCAGCAGACGTTGCCTATTTAGTATATATCGTGGTTTCGTCGCGTTAGGCGCGTCTTTCTAGCCTTTCTCGTAAAAGTTAAGAACATTTATTTATTCGTTTTTTATTTGCACTTTTCTACTAATTGAGATGCAAGTTTTACACCGAACGTGAAATAGATCCACTTTTCGTGAATTAAGCTTTATCATGTACGTACGCATTATATCAACATGTACCTACGCATTAAGGCATATATGCATGTATGTATGTATGCATATGCATACGTGTTTTAGCGCGCGATTTTATACATACATATTTTTATATTAGGGTTTCGCCAGATGTAAGCCCTTAACAGTTTTTTTTTTGCACTTTCAACAATATTTGCTTAATGGCTAGCAGCTGTTTGCCGTTGTAAACAATTATTGTATACATACAGGCATTTATACATAGAACATGCGAATATGATTAATAGTTTTTAAATGCGAATTAGATTGGCACCAGCGTCAAATACCCTTTACCAAGCAGTTAAATATTACATTGAAAGTTGAATCATTTTTAAAATGCTATAAATATTGGTTATTTGATTGTTTTTATTTTTTTTCACTTATTTTTGCAAACAGCAAGGAATTTGCGAAAGAATTGCGAAAATGATTTATATATATGCATATATATGGACATTCATGCTCATTAGCTGGATGGTTTATTGTTTGTTTCTTTTGTTTAGAGCTTAGTCAATGCTTTGTGTGCACATCCTGTCAGTAAGCTTAGTAAGGTCAAATGCAGCAGTATTACCCCACCCCCACCCCCAGCTATGAACACTTTTACATATTTCTCATAATCGCGTTGTCCTTGTAACCATTTAAGCGTAAATTGCTGGCAACCTGAAAGAATTGTGTTATCTGTTTCTTAGTGAAAAGATACAAGAAGGCCTTAATCGTACCCCATCTTAGGACTATATTGAAGGATTAAAGATCATCTCTTCGGATACTGAGAAATTATCGAAAACCTAAATGCAGCTTGTGTTGTCGCTGATAGCCTTAACTGTTTGTAAAGGGCCCATCTCATTGCATGTGCTTTCGGAAAGCTACAATGGCCAAAACGTCCGTTTAGCTTTATCGATTCTTGCTTATCAGTGGGCCGGAGCGGTCTTCACAGCTAAATGACTGACTAACTGACAGATTGACGTTCGCTTTCTTTAAAAGTTTGTTGTTTTATATATATACGTTACACAATATTATAATATAAGGCATGTGTGTGGGCGTGACTTCATCTATATATATCGTTCTCTTTATGGCATACGCACACACTCACACACACACACATACACACACACACACACACACACACACACACACACACACACACACACACACACACACACACACACACACACACACACACACACACACACACACACACACACACACACACACACACACACACACACACACACACACACGCACGCACGCTTTACTCGCACGCACGACTGCATGGCTGAGCAATAAAAATTGTTGCCTGCTTTTGAGCGTTTGCCCCTTTTTAAAGCATACATAAATAAAAAATAGTCAGCGGTATATTTAAACAATTTTTACAACTAGCCGGTTTAATTAAATGGCAACTTCAGCATGATAAACTACCCATATATACATATACCATACATAAATTTAATAACCTCTCCCAAGGCTAATGAGTATTGAATGGCTGACGACCTGCTGTTTAATATTGTAGCGGGTGCAATCGAGCTTAGCTCCCAGCAAAGCAATGGAAAAGTTTCTCAGTTCCACAAGCACCTGTTTCAAAAGTACACGACAGCAGCTACAATCACAGAAGAACTTACAGGCATAAGAATCTGTATACATATAAATACCGGCAATCAAGGGCAAACAGAGAAATTCTTTCGCAAAGCCCAACAAAACGGTTACAAAATAAAATCTTATATTGTCCCTAAAGCCTCCAGAACTGACATAGCAAGTGTTTCAAAATTTAAAGCAAAAACAAACCCCTATTATATAAATAGGATTATATTCGGCTCTGATTCCCTTAACATATATTATTATATTAAACAGAAATTCAGAAATACGTGGTACATTAAAGGGAAAACCGGTTCGGTTTAAAGAATTATTTTCAATATAAATGCTATTTCGGCTGATATATTTTTGTTTAAAGTGCGAGTGTATTACGATAAAAAATGAACTTATTTATATTTGACGTTTACTGCACAAAGTCTAGAGACATATATATATAATTAATAATTTCGCTTCGCTGATTGTGTGAGGGTCAGGCTCTACGATTTGCCAGCCATTCACGTAGGCGTAGGCTCCGGAGAATTATTGCGCTTGGCCTTCGTTTTCTTTCCCCTGTCCTTTTGACTGTCGTCGGTGACGCAGCTCTCTCATCACACTTAACATTGAAAACCGAAAACAAGCCCCTAAGTGGGCCGAAAAGGCCTGTCAACAACAACAACAACAACAACAACAACAACAACAACGGTAACTGCCGACGCCGCGCTCACTGAGAGTGCGCAGCACCCTGTAACCATTCCCAAGCTCAATTTGGGAGAACAGACAGTCAGAGAGAGAAACAGTTAAAGCACGTTGTAGACATAAAGACACATACGTACATGTATGTTATATGCACATGTCGAATGTTGATAGTGAAAGTTCTCAGCAGCTACAACAAAAATCTGGCTGTGTCTTTAAAGTTTACATGGGACCATTAGCTACAGCGAAAGCAAAAGTTTTCACACTTCAAGCAATGCTCTTTCCTATAAATAAAATCTTAAGATTATCAATTGAATATTCGAAAATATTCAATGATATTATTGATATTTGATTTTATAATATTAATAAAAAGGTTAGTTAAGCTAAAGAGCATACCATGACTAAAGTTGAAACATTTAAGAAATACTGCAGTTGAAATGTGGAAACTTAATAAGCTAGATTACATACTTTTTATGGCAATAATATTGTTAAGACTTTGCAATAGCGGCATTTTAAAGATTTCTTTAACAGCAGCTGTTACAGTTAACAGATACAATAAGTAAGCGCGCTTGCCCTTGTCTATCTATCCAGTCCTCCTTCTGGCTCTCTTATTCCGTTTGCCTCTCTTTTGGCAGCCACGCAAATACCGTTAACACAGTACATCGTGAACAGTTGAGCGAGCAAGTTTAAGCTAACGAAAAAGTGCACTATCAAAAGCGCAGAAAAAACCGAATACAATAAAAAACAAAAACATTTTGAAAAAAAAAAAAACAAAAAATGCCATAAAAATGGCTGACGCGGCTGAATAAACTTGACAAATGTTCTATTATACATAACTTTCAATTTAGTGGAACATTTCTTACGCATATTGACGCGACTTGACGTTGTGTTATATAAATCTCAGCTAACATACACATATGTAAGTGCGTGTGTATTTGTGTGTGCGTATGGCGCGTGACTATCTAAGTTTGCGCCCCTTCCAATACATAGATATTGTCCGGTTCATTTTGTAGTGTCAATTAAAACTCATTAAGAATATTACGCATACGCAGTGTTGTCAGCAGAAAAAAAAAACCTAAGATAAGCCAACAGATCCAAATAATGTAAGTTAGTTTTAATATGTATATATTTATTTTTAACATTGTTGCAATAATTATAAGTCCCATAGAAATTAAAATATGCATTTTTATTTGATTATTTTAATTGCCGCCAAACATGAAAAATTGTGCGTATGTTGCAATTTGATTTCAGTTCTATTTCATTCCATCAGATTCTGCAATTTCCACAACATTTATTGATTATCAGTCCGTAAAAAGCTGACCAGTCGTACCCATGCCACCTGTACCCCATCCTACCTGTTATTGAGGCCCTTTCAGTCACGTCTTATGGCCATTTTAGTTGAGTTAATTGCTTATTCAATTTTTTAAGCGCACATTTTACGTTCTTTGCTTTCATGTTGGTCATTTCTAATGTTCGGGAATATTTTCATTTATATAGCCCCTATTCTTGTTTGCCAAACTTCGCCTTCCACAAAAACATGTTAACATTCGCAAATCTTAGTTCTTGAATTTTCCTAATGCAAGTATTTTTATTCCTTCGTTTTCCAAAGCGTTTTCGATTACAAGCAGCTGCTTTTTTTTTTTACTGGTACATAATGTTTTCTTGTCATCTGGTCATCTAGCTTCCCACTGCCACGCCATATATCCTGGCAAAACGCATGTCCTTCAGGGCTGCTTTCCCTCTACATGCTTTGTTATCCTGCCATTGTTAGGCTCGTATTGTTTGTTAGTCTCCTGGTAAGTATGCTCGTGTATTCGGCCAGGCGCAAGTAAATGGCCAAGTTGCCGTCAATTTCGGGACATTTTGCTGGCAGCTTGGCTGAGCTGTCGCCGTTTTATTTGTTGTGCCGTTTATTATTGTTATTGCTTTTGGCTTTGCTTCTTTTTTCTTCTTTTCTTTATTGTTCACCGCCTGTTTTTTTGTTATTGCTTTCGAGAATTTCAACTTGAAGTATTTTAGACGTTTTCTGGTCCGTTAGGAAAAGCGCATGAAGAAAATAAATTCGAAAAATATATAAAAGGAGAGTAGCTTACGGTAAAGTACCTGCAGATGGACACCGTTTACTGATGTCCTGTTGAAGTAAATGTTGGGGGATACCTTTTAAATATATATATTTAATATATATTTACTTTTAAGCGCACTACCTCTTCCGAAAAGTTTAGTAATATAATAACATTCGAACTCGGAAATTTTTCGGAATGCAGATTTCTGTTACCCTGATTTGATTTGCTTATTTATTTAATTTGTGTCTTTCTCTTAGCCCGTGGGAAATGTTTAAAAAGTTTAGTTAAGTTGACGTGTTTTTATTTGATATTCTTCGGTTTCAAACAAAAAAAAAAGTGTTTGAAAAAAAAAACATTTTGTGGCCAAATCGAATAACAAGTTGGTTGATATTCTCAAGCATATACATGTTTTTGTCGTCCTAAGGCCTATTTGGAACTCAATTATAAATGCGGCTTCC